AAGTGTAGATTTTACTAATCTAGTACTAATCTGTACTAATTAGTACAGTTCTATCATCTTGTTTAATTCATCTTATGTGAAGAAGGAAGCTGAAAATGCTTAAGTGTCATAACCTCTAAACCATCACATAGACCCAGTCAATAAGTCCCTATCAATGGTTCTCAAATTTCAGAGGATATAAATAAAAGTGGCCTAGAAAACTTACTGAGAAATGAAGGCTTTTATCCTTCTTCCCTGTCATCCTTGTAATTCTGATTTCATAGGGGACCTTTATTTTGACAGACACTACAGGTGATTGGATGGAGATAATCTGTGCACCTATTTCAGCAAACTTGTTCTAATCCTTGTCAACTGCAAAAGAAACAATATTCTGCTCTGTCCTCTTTCCTGCATCCTAACATAAGAACTAAAAAAAAAAAAAAAAAAAAAAAAAAGGCAGCTAGTAGAAACTCCAGTTTTAAACTCTTAGGTATGCCCAGATTTCCTGTTGGAGCATGAGGGCACAGTCACAAAGGAGCTAAACAGTGGCAAAAAAAATAGCCCTTGACTTCCTTTGCACTGTTGCTACCAACAGAGGGCCAAGTTCATATATACCTGGAACTTAAAACATACCAAATGGGTTTGAAAGTAAGGAGTATGTCCCAAAGCCATGATACAGTCATGGTCCTCTATAAAATAAGATGTGGGTCTTTTTTCATAAAAGCTCAAAATGTTTTTCATAAGCTCAAAATGTTCTGCTTACTACACTAGCTATATGCAAAGCACTAGTTTCCTTTTCATTTCCTATTTTGTCAGCACTATGTTGTTTTGTTTGACATGAAGACTCTATGCTGTGTGTTTAATTTAAAATGCAGCTGGGGGGGGATCCCTGGGTGGCGCAGAGGTTTGGCGCCTGCCTTTGGCCCAGGGCGCGATCCTGGAGGTCCAGGATCGAATCCCACGTTGGGCTCCCGGTGCATGGAGCCTGCTTCTCCCTCTGCCTGTGTCTCTGCCTCTCTCTCTCTCTCTGTGACTATCATAAATAAATTTAAAAAAATTAAAATGCAGCTGGGTAATGCATTGATTTGCTCTCTTGTAAAAAGTTGAGGAAAAGTGACTTAAGCTGTTATGCAGCTGTTGGGGTATTAATGGGCAGGGGATGAGGACAGAGGACCCACCTAGGGAGGAAAAACAAGATCTCACTTTTTAAGATTTCAGTTCTTAGACTGAAACCAAGACCCGGGACAGAGGAAATAAAAAGAGACATGAATGATTCCTAAAAGCCAAAAAAACAGAAGCAATAGCTGACTTGTTATTTACTAAGTCTAGCCCACCATTCACTGGTTGGGTCCATTCCTTAAAACAGCAGGGCAGGCATTTCTGTCTTGTGTTATCTTCAGGCCACATTATCAGCTCACACTGCAATAGATAGAGTCACTGCCTCCCAAACTCATGGCTACATGTGTCTTTTCCTTTCCCCTCAGTTTCCTTCTGGTGGTGCACTTGAGCACCGTGGTGTCCTGTTACAGAATGTTGTCCTGCTCTAACTCCCAGGAAGCTCTTGAGATCTGCATCACTTTTCATGTCTTCTGGTTTCTCAAGATACTTCCAGAGTCTAGGCCTGACTTTCAAGTTTATAGATAATTAACTTGGTTTTGGCAAACCCATAAGAATCATTTCTAAAATATGAATGGCTCTTTGTTGCTTTTCCCCAGTGGGGCGGGGTGGTTAGCCCCTTAACAAAATTTATTTTCACTAGTGTTAGAATATGTTGTAATGAGAAGATGATCAAAAAAAAAAAAAAAGATTTACACATTGGTCAATGAGTTTCACATTGAGGAAGAAATGGCTTTAAAAAAATTTTTTTTTAAATCAAGTAAACTCTACCCCCAATATGGGGCTTGAACTCATGACCCCCAGACCAAGAGTCACATACTCTACTGACTGAGCCAGCTAAGTGCCTTGGAGATAAATGGTTCCTTAGGCAAAACTGCTGTCTAATCTCAGTCAGGTATCTACGTGAATTAATTCATCCATTCATATAACAAACGTATAATAAGTCTACTGTTTTATATGCTGAGCACACAGTGGTGAAGATGAACAAGAACAATCAAGGGCTATATTTTAGTGTCGTGTAGCTGGTTCTGAGGTCAGGCAATTGTTGGAGGTAGGAAGGAATTAACTAACCTGAACCAGAATTTGCCACTCCCACCACCGCAAGGGAGAAGCAGAAGGCATTCCAAAATCTCACCATTTCACTTTTTAAGTAGTGAATGTGAATGTTTGATGGTCTATGTATTCGATGTCCCAATGAGGAAAAAAGAATTCAATGCAGAATCTAATATACATCACATCTCAAATAGAAAATTTATGTCAAGGGACTATTAGATAGTTTGCTAGGAATCAAATAACTTAATTTGTAATCTTCTTCTTTTTTCCTTTGTGATGTGGGCAATACAATTTGACTCACCAGAATGTACCGATGGACCAGAGTTTGATGTGCGTACAAATGGGAACACTTTTCCTTGTCTTCAATAAGCTTCCCATATGAAAAGAACACACACACACACACACACACACACACACACACACACATGCACTTATGCATGCATATACACACATGACTATACACCTGTAAGTGAAAATTTTGTAAAATTTTGTGTGTCTAGAGCAATGTGCCCTAGACACATAAATGTCATGTAGCTAGAAGAGATGGTTTTTGAACTAAATCTTTTAAAAAGTCATATTTTTTCAAGAAGGAAGTGGATAATGAGTAGACACTGCAAAAGCAGGCCTTATTATGAGCAAGGCACAAGACAGAGTATGTGTGTGGGGGGCAAGGGAAGATTGGTATTTGAGTGTGATTTGCATTTCAAATTTATCCTCTAAAATCACAGAAGGCCCTATGCAGGAGAATGCCATGATCATATTTGTTCTTTGGCAACAGGTGAAAGGATGGAAGAGGGAAGAGTTTGGAGGTACAACCACTGTTGGAGCTGAGTGATGCTGAGGAACTGAGCAAGGATACTGTGGAAGAAACATATGAAGAGGAATGGAGGACAATAAAGGTAGGGTACTCATGCTCATGAACACTGGACTTGGGAGTAATGGAAACAACCTGACTCACTAGAATAGTAAAGTTGTTTTGCATCATCTGGAATTTTCTTTACTTGTATTGAGCACTTACCATGTGCCAAGTATCATGTGATGTGTTTTACAAGCATTGGACCATTCCATATTCACATCCACTCAAAACTACATTGTACTACGTCTTGCAGTAAAGTGTGTGGGTGGGAAGAGTAGCTAATTCATCTTGTACCTTGTCATACCAGCACACAATCTGTGTTACAAAGACCTCACATGGCTGTACTGGGGAGGCATTAAATGGCCATATATAAATGAATGAATAAATAAACTTGTATTTAAAATTCTCAGAAAGTTCAGCAGTTGGGGCAACAAACAGAATGTGCTATGCAAACAAGATAAAAAAGGAATTGAGTTTTATGATGTCTGCATGGGGTCTTGGAGCTTCAATTATTCAAGGCAGTTATAAGTATGATGGCTGTAGACACACACAAAAAAAATATTGGATTTCCAGTATGTTGCTGCCTAAGGGGTTGACCAGGGCAAAGTCTGGTGTCAAGACTTCAATGTGGAACCCAAGAAAAGCTGGAGATGGAGACTAAAAGGGAGGCCTATAGTCAAAGTCAGATTCTGCACAACACGATCAGGAACAAGATAAAAAAATATCTTTAAAATAGGGGATCCAAAAAATAAAGCAGAAAATGATTTCAGGGATAACCCAAATACAGACTAAATTGAACTAACAATACAGCTCTGTTGCCTTCCACCTGTTGAAGTAGCCCTTCCCATTTCTTAGGGGAAATCTCTCAAGGAGGCAAAATCTGATAACTAGAAATTTTATCTGTTTTTCATTTAAGTCTCAAGACCTATCACACTGATTTGTGGTCTATGGATAAGATGTAGCTTTCTGAATACCAAGAATGAGAGATCTAGAAACAATTATGAGCCATGAAGTTCCCAAAGGCCATCACAGGTAAAATACAAGTCACGCTTCTGGGAAAGATGAATGGGAATATGATGGCAAAATGTCAGCTGTAAGGCACAATGCAACTTGAGACTGAAGCTATGATTATCCCAACTAAGGCATTTTCTTCTCTTATGATAATAATAGCAGCTAATGTATATTGAGTGCTCCTTCTGCACCAATTCTTTCCATGAATTAACTCTTTTAACTCTGACAACAAAACTATAAAATAGACTTCTACAATCCCTTCAAATATAGAGAATATAGTAGAGGAAACTAGACTCAAAGTTAAGTGACTACTCAAATCCCACAATTAGTAAGGGTGGAGTTGGGATTCGCATCAAGGCACTCTCTGGAGTCTTTGTACTTTTAGGGTTACTATGGTGACTGCCAACTGCCTTAAATTCCCTGGCAAGCAACTGCTTGTCTCAGAGACAGGGAATCTCTCTAGCTAGAAGTGAAGCCCAGAAAGGGCATGACAGGAAGAGTCTTAAGAATATATAAGTTTTATAGGGTTTTAGAATTAGTGCCCATTTTAAGAAGTAGATGTTCTCCTTTCCATCCTATTTAAACTAAATAGTTTCATAGTATTTCAAATTAAGCAATCCTTCTCAGATGTTTCAGAAATCTTTGCAATATATGATCTGAACCACTGGATCTCTACGACCCTGTCATGAGGTAATCATATGAATAGACATATTCTCAAATTAACAGACATTCTAAAGTAAAGCAAAGCAACTTTCAATTATCCTATTTTAGTTGGTTTTTGTTAATATGAATCAGGATGTACATGTGACATATTTTAATCATTTAGTATTATAGGAGTGCCTTTTAGGTGGACCACTCTATATGAATTTCATGCTTAAAAGCTATTTTTTATTCAAATGTCTTACAGTCACCCTAGGAAAGGAGTTATATTACCATCCCCCATTTTATGATGAAATTTTGAAAAAAAACCACACAGACACAGAGAAACTATGTAACCAATATCCCGTAGCATCACAACCTTTAGAATAGCAAAATTATATACATTTGGTGAGAACAATGGACCAGTGATCTCTCCACATCAAACTCTAAAATTCTAAAAAATGTAGAACACGATTCTAAAGAACAGACTCATTTCTCAAAGTAAAACAAATGCAATCTTATAAGGTCATATCAGACACATGATTAACAAACACACTAATATTTTAAAACTACTTGATTTACTTTCTCATAACTAGTAATACACACATTGTGGACATGATTTATTTAAAACTTTGAGAAATAGTATTTTGACCGAACAATAATAAAACTATTAAAAAGATAAATTGATAATGGAATAATTACCCAATGTTAACCTTTAAAAATAATTGTTACAAGCCAAACTTGTGAATTTTAGATAGGCACATTATTAACAATTGTAACTATCAGAAATACTTTTAAAATGTCCATGCAGTTAGTATACATAAAAAATTCATTAGCTGAAATCAGCTGTGAAACATGGTCTGAAATTTGGTTGGCTGTTAAGTTTAATGTTGTCTTATTGTTTCAAAATATAAATAGATTGGCCCATTCTACATTTGTTAAAAACTGTAATCTTAAAATATGAAACAAAAAACTCTGATAGATATAACTAGGCATTTCATCTAAAAAGTTGTAAAATACTTATTCCTGGAGAACTTTCACAATCCCTGTACCTCAAAGCTTATTTCAAAACCATCATTATTTCTCATTTAAAAACTATACCCTTGCATTGAAGATATAAACTGTAAATATGCTATTATATACGAACCACACATATGCCAATTTTAATTACCCTTTTGTTAACATAGAATATTGCATCTAATAAAAGCATGACTTATTTTTACATTTTCAATGGCAAAGTTAAAGTTCTTTTGTTGAGGAAATAATGAAGCAATGACCAAGATATCTGAAACAATAACGTCAACATTATAACATTACTCCGATAAACAGAGAATACTACACTTACATAAAACACAAACAGAATCACTCACTTTAGAAGAGAAGAGAGATGGCATTTTAAAATACTAGACTCTCCAACCCAAGTAGAAATTTAAAAAATAAAGAGAAGAGAAAGATAGTGAGAGAGAGAAGAGTGTACACACACACACACACACACACACACACACACACATATATATATATATATATATATATATATATAGAGAGAGAGAGAGAGAGAGAGAGAGAGAGAGATCAAGGACCAAAACCATGTAGAAGTAAAAATACATTCTAGCAGTTTTTAAACTTAAGTTTTGCTGACAAGAGAGGTTAAGAGAGAAACATAGACTCAGTGCAGGATTTTATATAGAATAAAACAGAAACTAAACTCCACCAAAATGGAATTGTATTAATAGTTAATGCCTGCCTGGGACTCTCTCTTTGCATTAAAAAGAAAGGTAATGTTGTAAGAAGAAAACATTATCAAGAATGCAATATACATTGTATAATGTTTAGGAGAATGGCAGTTTTCAAGCACCACACGATTAACTAATTAGGTAAGTGAAGATAATATTAAAGCAAGTTCTTGACAATTTTCTATTAGGTTATACTTTAAGTAGTGTATGACATACACTTGAATTCATTACATTTTATTGCACTATAAAGTGGTTATTATCATTAGACTCAAATGTAAACAATAATTCCTTAATTTTCCTTAATTTTCCTATCTGTAGGTCTCCTTGGGTGGAAGACACTAATAAATAACTTTGTAAAACTTGGGAAATTTGGATACATATTTATAGCATTATCTTGTAAACATGCATTTGGCCAAAGAGATCCCATCAAAATAAAGAGGGGAAAACCCAAAACATAACATCTTGTATTTTTTTTAAAAAAAATCTGGCTGGTAATGAAAAAAGTAGTGGTTGGAAGGAGATAAAGTCACTGGGTTTTGTAGATTTATCAGAATACATTCATCTCTTGATGCATGCTTCTGCTAGTGTCCTAAATTTGGGTTCCAAATGATCCAAAAATTCAAGCCCATCTTCTTCTTGTCGTTCACTGCAACAACCTATAGAACCAGCCACGGATCCTTTTCCTTCATAGTTATATGTAAGGACATAGTCTTGAGCATGCTTATGCTTGTCATCTTGATTACACAGTTGCACCTTCTGCCAGGGGAGAAACACAATATATTTTATTATTATTATTTTAAACACCAAAACTTACTAACATAAAAATAATTGCTTTGATTTACCTTTCATTGTTTAATTTTTAATCAGAGTGTGTCCTCTAATGGATTCCTACATATAAAAAATGCACATGATTGGTCTATATCATAAATCATCTCTAAATTCACTATACAGCATGCTTTTAAAAACTCACACGCAGCAACAAGTATACAAGGATTCATATTAAGTAATCATTAGTTTCCCTTTCAAAATCATGTCTAAAGTGAAATGCACCCGTTAAACTGAACCCAAGTTGATATGGGCCCAGATCTTTCCAGATAGGCTTAGTGACCATAAGGCTTTAGTTGCCTCGTACCACATTTCCGGTTTCTGTGATGTGATTTGTCATGTGGGAAATAGTAATACAAAGTCATGGAAAAAAATAATTTAAGTATCATCCCACAGATAGCTTCTATATTTTAAAAATAAAAACATATAAACTGGGATAAAAATTCTTTTCAATTGTTCTTATACCAAATAAATAAGACATTTCATGTCCAATACATAAATAAATATCTAACACTATTTCGTAAGAATTAAACACCAAACAAAATAAGAGGAAAAATAAATACCCACTTAATATCTGAGCATTACTAAATTGAAATTAAGGAAAAACAATTTTCCAATTAATAGATTTAATATTTAATGGAAAATAAAGGTCAGGCCACTAAATTGTAGTGATTTAGAAAGTTGAAGAGAAATGAAAATAAATTCGTAGGACACTCAGGGAAACTCAAACTCACTTCACCAAGGCGGGGCTGAGTGAAATTATGCCATTCGGAGTAGGTGTATCTGCAGGTGTCCACCTCCACATGTCCTCCCCTACAGGAATCCAGGGTGTGATGATGCCCAGTCCCCCGGCATGATTCCAGGGTCTGATGTCCACCTTTCACCATTTCAATGCTCTCCTGCCCTCCATTTTTCACTCCTGATCCCATGGTGCCACACACTCCCTGAGCCGAACTGCCCACAGTATGGGTTGTGAAGCCATCCGTGGAACACTGAAATGAAAACAATTTGTGTACAAATTGTAAGACGAACAACAATAACATGCAGATAATGTCATACATTTTTGTGTTAGAAGGTAGGCTCTCTGAGAGCAAGAACTAAATCTTGCTCTCTTCACAATCCTGAGTCTCACCCAGGACTTGATGCAGTATCCAATGCATCTGCAAACTGCAGATATCAAGTGGTCTAAACCTTGAAACAAATCAGAAAGCTGAATATATATTCCTTCTTTAAATATTTCTTAGAATACTGTACATTGTTGTTTGTTAAATCCTTCCAAAATCTCAAGGCTCAAAATGAGGATTCCAGTGTCAATGCCTCACGTATATTTACCCTGTTTGTTTTAAATTCACTCCTTCACCTGACTAGAGCAGAAACAGAAATGATGATGAGTATTCTTATTCAGTGTCTAATCTCATTTCCCTTGATTAGAACAAAAAAACAGGAAAAAGAGTTGCCATAAAAATCTTAGCTTCAGTATTAAACCCTTGTGATCTCAATAAATACAAATAAATCAGCAGGGAAAATAAGAACACCAACATCCTGGTCACTAATTTCCTATGCTGTGCTTTTGTAGGAAAGTCTAAGGTGTTTTTTTTCCAATACTTTATTAAATGTCAACACACTTTTGCTTTCTAAATCTTTCCTGTTCTTATCATTATGCTTTTTGTAAAAAATTTACATGTTCCTCATCCACGTAGTAGGCTAGAAATCAAAGTTGGAGCTCTGTAGTCACTTGCTAGCAATGCTGTTTCATATATTTGACCTTTCTAACCATATTAGAACCAGAAAGACTCCATTAAAGTTCTTCCCACACTGATCAAAGCTTGTAGTCATTTTATTGCTGCTGCCAGAAAAAAAATAAAATAATTATGCTGATGACCTGTGAATAATTAAATGAAATATTTTTACAACACAAACAGCAGTTTCAATATTTAAAAAAGACTGGATTTAAAGTTGAAATCATGAAACATTTTAAGTAGAAATAATAATGATGTGCTAAAGTATTTTTACTATTAAGGAACACTATATGACCACATTGAAAGGCCACACACCACCATGAGAATCAAGGTCATTTTATCTATTCCATAGGGCTGCTGAAATTTTACGTATTCTAAGTCACCTGATCAAAAGGACTTCTCTCAGAAAAGTATTGATTAAACCAAGTTTGTCCTTTGTATTTATTTTAAAAAGAACAAACTACTTACTATTTTGTCATCTCCTGGAGCTTCTGTATTTGACACAATGAGGTTCTGCTGGGCTAAATCATCAGGAAATACTTTGGGCTGTTTAGCTGCCCCAGTACCCCCACAGACTAAGGTAAATAGGATACCTGGAGGATGAAAGAAGTTATTTCAGTTTATCATAAAACAATGTGGAGTTGTAATTCAGGATGATTAATACAAAGATGATTTTCCAGAAAACATAAATATGATGGCTTGTGGAGAAGTAGCACACAACCGGAAAGTCTGCCCTAACCAGGTATGCCATGAAGACGTGCTAAATGCCGTATTTCTGCACTAAATTTTACGTCTATGCTGAGATAACACTAGAACAGTAAAATGTGTTGAGTTGAAGCATCTGGGTGGCTCAGTCAGTTAAGCATCTGCCTTTAACTCAGGTCATGATCCTGGGTCCTGGGACCCAGCCCCACCTGCTTCTCTCTCTCCCTGGCCCTGCTCATGTTCCCTCTCTCTCTCAAATAAACAAAATCTTTTTTAAAAAACAAAAATAGGGGATCACTGGGTGGCGCAGCGGTTTAGCGCCTGCCTTTGGCCCAGGGCGCGATCCTGGAGACCCGGGATCGAGTCCCACGTCAGGCTCCCAGTGCATGGAGCCTGCTTCTCCCTCTGCCTGTGTCTCTGCCTCTCTCTCTCATTCTGTGTGACTATCATAAATAAATAAAAATAAAAAAATAAAAAAAAATAAATATGTTGTATTAAATAGAAATAGAGAACTATATACAAATGAACAGCTACAGATAGCAGTGCTGATTCTTTTTTTTTTTTTTTTTTAAGCAGTGCTGATTCTAAGAATGTGTCTCGAAAGTTATTTCAAAGGCTGTTATTTGAGTTGGTGAAGGAACTTACAAAAGAGCAACGCTATGCCCAACAATATTGCAAGGATGGCCCACTTTCCAAGTCTCACATCTCCGCCACCGGTCCTCGCATCTGTGCGAAGTGTGCAGTCATTTTCAGTAACACAGTCACATAAAAGTACATTTAATGGAGTGATGAGTGACCGGCCATGTCTATCTGCAACTCTGACAGATATGTGATATGTTCCAAAAGGAAGGTCCTTCTCATAGAAAAGACGAGCTGCCGTATCTGAAAGAAAATAAAACGAAGTGATAGAGAATGTCACTAATCTCTCCTAGTGGTAGGATATTCACCCTATTTCCCAACAAATGTATCTTCCTGATGGGAAGGCACAACTGCTACAGGATTGAGAAGATGAGTGGACTGGAAGTTCGAATCTAGAGCAACGGTAAACATACTACATACTACGTATATAAGTTTCTCTCTTCTCCCTCTTACATGAATGTCCTTTGGCTTTTATAGTAATATATCTTTCTGTCCATAAATAGACCTTCTATCATAAGTAATAGGCTTGTTAAGACATTGGTTTTGGGATGCCTGGATGGCTCAGTGGTTGAGCATCTGCCTTCAGCTCAGGACATGATCCCAGGGTCCTAGAGTCCTGGGATCAAGTCCCGCACCAGGCTCCTGGCAGGGAGTCTGCTTCTCTCTCTGCCTATGTCTTTGCCTCCCTCTCTGTGTCTCTCATAAATAAATAAATAAAATCTTCAGAAAAAAAAAAAAAGACACTGGTCTTTACCACATCTTTGAAAATATTTGCCTTCAGTGCAATTTTCTTTTATACATGGCTCATCACAGGGTAATAGTCTGAAATTCTGGATGGTTCCCCTTACTTTGTTTTCATATATTGTGCCAAACAAACATAAATAATTATTTTTTTAAATTTTTATTTATTTATGATAGGCACACAGTAAGAGAGAGAGAGAGGCAGAGACACAGGCAGAGGGAGAAGCAGGCTCCATGCACCGGGAGCCCGACGTGGGATTCGATCCCGGGTCTCCAGGATTGCGCCCTGGGCCAAAGGCAGGCGCCAAACCGCTGCGCCACCCAGGGATCCCCCAAACAAACATAAAAAACAGTTGTGGCTTACTGTCAGCCTGATTCTGACAACTCAGAACATGGCTGACCTTGAACATACTGGCAAACATGAGTTGTCCTGCTGCTGTACCATCTCATCATTCTATAAGACTCTGGAACCAACTGTCTAGTTTTTAGTTTTGATGTATTTTTTTTTGGTCAAGGATAGAAAATATCCAGGTCAATCTCTAATTCAGTCTTGGGTACAGATCCAAAGATATAATACTATTCTGAATATAAATGCTGCATGCCAATGCCTAAGAATAATCTCTCCTCACTTAACTGGCCTAGTGTGACAGTTCCATTTATTTTTAGGGTGTTTGAAGCTCTAAATATAAATTTGGGGGTTCGGGTAAAGAAATCAGTGAATAAGTCTGTTTTAAAAGAAAGCATGGTTAAGTTGGTAAGTCTATGTGTAAAAAATAAGACTAACAAAACCAAAATTTATGATGCATAATGTGTCATGGGCTGATGCATTAATTATCTTGTTTACTCCCCCAAATAATCCCATTTTACAGATGAGTAAATTAAGGCCCAAAGAGAATAAATAGCACGGTAATATTTATATCACTAATAAACAGTGGAGCCGGCATTTAACATAGCCTATCTTGACTTCAAAGCCTCTTTAGGATTCATTCTTCTTAACTTGATGCTTCCCAGACTTTTGTGTTATTTCACAGATGAGTAGAACTTTAAAGTCACAAAGCTTTGACCAACATAATCTTACCAATGTTTTACTGTATGAAGTAGGAACACTAAATAAATAAATAAGTAAATAAATAAATAAATAACTTCTTTCATATGATCTAAAAAGAAATGTTATGACTACCCAATCAGTAGAAAGGAGGAAATCTAAAAATAAGGTTAGTTCTTCTCAAGAAAGTTGACAACCTTACACACACACACCAGAATATTGTTAAAAATACTGAAAATGTTATCCATTCACAGAGCAGGATTTGGGACATGGGGCCGTAACTTGTCACCGTGGCTTCTATGCATCCTCGATTTTCTTCTCCCTTCCCGTTCCTCTTCCCCTGGCTTGCAACTTAGTTTTTTAATTTGTCTTAAGAGAAAATGGAGGAATATTCATCAGAAGCCTGGGGTTAAAAATCACATTCAAGGACACTTTAAAGGCAAACCCCCTCAGTTTACAGCAGATCTGAAAGTTGTGAACGCTGGAGTGCTGGGGGACCAGGACTTCAGGGCCAGTGCGTAGGACAGTCAGGACATGTGGAAGACACTAAAGAGTTTACAGCTGATGGAGGGAGTGGTGCAGCTAAATGGATAGGGGGCCCCTCCATTTTTGCCATTCTTGTCACCATAGTTCCTCTCATGGTTAAAGTCAGAAGTACAGACTAAGAGCTAAGTTGGTATTAATGATATTTACATACCATTAATTTTTGTTAATCTCCATGTTCTTTCTATGTCTGAATCAGGAATATTCTCCAATCTGAAGTCAAAGGGTGGGCCATTGATAGGCTCATCAGGGTCTATAGCAACAATGTCCGCAGATGGTGACAAGACGGTTTTGCAGATTACCACTGTGTGTTTTGGTATCGATGGGCCATTATCGTTCACATCTTGAAGTATAATTCCCAGTGTCCCAGTACATGTTCTCCCATCTGAAAAATTGGACATAATAATTATTTTTAATGTTCTGAGTTTTCACTGGGAAGTTATACATTGAAAAAATAGTTTTAAAAATGAATGTGGCACTTGTAACCTAGAAATGGCAGTGACAAAGACCAGGGAACCAGAAGAAATGAGATGTAAGAAAAATACAACCATCTCTTGCTTTGGACCATTTAAAAGAAGAGAGATGAGCAGGGGGATGTGTATTTTCTCCAGCTGGCATACTTTGCATAGGGCAAAACAATTTCACCTCTCAAAATCTCTTGTTCTCAGACTACACACTATTTTCTTGATCTCTCTGAAAACCAGGGCTGTGGAACATCCTGAACATCTCTTCCCATTGGAGTCCACCCACAGAGCACATGGCTCACTGACTGAATCCGGTTAATTGCATTGTCTTTAAAAACCAACATCCACGATGTCTGCTCTTCTACCGTTGTGCTAAATGCCTGAACTTCCCTTCCATTAAACGTTTAGAGTTGTGCAATACACTCTATTTTTTTTGGCACGTCGTGATTAGTATTGGTGTACAATATTTAAACCAAAGCTCTTAGGCATCAAATTCAGTTTCACGGCTCTGTTTCTCATGTTAGTTAAATAGATCACACTCTTATTCACTGGAGTGTATGCATGCCATGCTCACTCTCTAATATTAATGCGATTCTACGTGAGTAATTACTAATTCTGAATACAAAGTCATGGAGAATGAACTACCCATGGTTTCATGATTTTTTGTGGCTGGTACACTCCTACTCAATGTTTCAAATATTTTGAAAGCACACTCCTCCTCTCCAAAGCAGGAATAACACAGCAACACAAACACCTAAAACTGAGTTATATAGAAGAGATATCTGAGTGACACTGCCAAGAAAGTTTAATTTGAGAAGATACTGAGAAGAAGAGAGAAACTGAACCCAAAGCTGAAGAAATCGCTCTGCTCAGGTGAGTGGAAAGTACTACCAGAAAGCACAGGGACGAGAGAGGAAAGCGTGGAAACCTGTACACACACAAACCTTGCAAAAGAGTTTTAGAAAGAGGAAGCAAGTGCTGCAGAAAAGCAGGAGGATGGAGAGTGAGAATAGGCCCGAATTCAGTGCTCACAAGACAGCATCTTTCATTAAGAGCAGTAGGGAGGGTCCAAATGAAATTAGCCAGTATAGATTTTAGAAAAGATAAAAACAAGGTCCCACGACATATTTATTCCATTCTACAATGATGATTAGCTCATCTAAACTCATACAAATATTTGATCTCTCAATTATTTTATTTCCTCTGCAACAAAGGAAAATGTAGAATAAAATTATATCCCAAATCTCTAATTCCAGACAGTAATTTTATCTGACCTACCAACAAGCTATTTGTTATGTGCTGTTAAAAACGTAAGAAGATGGGATCCCTGGGTGGCTCAGCGGTTTGGCGCCTGCCTTTGGCCCAGGGCGCGATCCTGGAGTCCCGGGATTGAGTCCTACATCAGGCTCCTGGCATGAAGCCTGCTTCTCCCTCCTCCTGTGTCTCTGCCTCTCTCTCTCTCTCTCGCTCTCTCTCTATATATATAATAAATAAATAAATCTTAGAAAAAAAATGTAACAAGAATAGATTTGATTTTCATCTGCCTTTGACCAAAAAGCATGTCCTGACAAAGGGATAAAGGAAGCTGAGGCCTTAAGGGACAGTCTTTAATGAATCAAAGTTGAATTAATAATAATCACAACCTTACCAATTCAGTCAATGGATATAAACCATTTCTCACTTTAGAGAGAACTGAAATTCCTAAAACATCTTCCAAAATCACTTCTAGACTCTAATGTTGTAAGCTATAGTGTAATAACTGATGTTTACTGTAGTCAACATATTTAGTTTACGGATGCACAAAGGCCAAATGTAACTCATACACTAAATGGATCTCATAACCACTGTGTTTACATTTCTCTCCATTTTGTAGCACTCATAGAACATTTTACACTTTATATGGTTTTATGGATTCACAGTGTTTAATTTTATAAGGTACTGTTAATCATGACTATGATTATTTTTATATAATGTTCTCAATCAGAATTCTAACCTCCACGTACACTGATAGTTCCCTGTAAAAAGACAAAAACAGTTTTCTAGGAATGCGCTATGGGGCAATAAGTATGTGCTCCCTGCAACGAACTTTCCTGCCAAAGTGAGTATTTTTAAAGATACGACTAGATAAATTGAAGCTAATTTTACTAGAGTAACTGTCTCACTTTTCAATGATTGTTTACTTTTAATAAATTATGGTTTCCAGTATTTCTATTACTAAATTTTATAATTACATACAACTGAGGGTGTTATTAGGAAACATCCATGTGTTAATAAACTACATCAAACCTTTCAATTGCTCCATGTCTTCCAGGGAGAAATATATTTCGAGAATACATGCAGCTGACTTAAAATCAATGTGGTTGGCTTAAGAACTGAGGATGAAAGTAGGGGGAAACTGATGTAGCTGGCTTAGAAACAAAGTTCTTACCTTTGTCTGATGCAAGAATTGTAATATTATATATACCACCTCTGATCATCTCTGCCTCTCGATCCAGGTTTCTGAAAATTGTAGGGATTCCTGTGTTTTCATTTATTCTGACCCAGTCTTTCGGATCACTTAATCTCCTGTACCTGTTAATAATGAAGTAAAATAACAACTGTATCATAGGCCCAATTATAATTTTGGCATCAAATTATGAATTTTAAATTTTTTTAAAATTTATTTATGATAGTCAGAGAGAGAGAGAGAGAGGCAGAGACACAGGCAGAGAGAGAAGCAGGCTCCATGCAAGGAGCCCGATGTGGGATTCGATCCCGGGTCTCCAGGATCGCGCCCTGGGCCAAAGGCAGGCGCCAAACCACTGCACCACCCAGGGATCCCAAATTATGAATTTTAAAAACATAGTAAATTTGGAGTTAACTGAACCAGGATACCTTATGCCACTGCTATTTCTTGTTTCGGGGTCATACGCTTTGTATCCTTGAATCTCTGTCCCCACTGGCACATTTTCTTTAATTTGAGTGGTTTGTACTTGAGGGCTACACTCGGGGCCCTCATCTTGATTTTTTACATTAACAGTAACTGTTGCTGTGCTCATGGTAGATCGTAAGCTAGCCTCTTTCGAGTATGGAGCTTCATTAACTACAACAATCTGTAGGTCCACCTGTTGTCTTTCTTCATAATTCAGGGGCTACAAGAAAAAAAAATTTGTGTGGAAAATGAGCTCAAGACAGCTAATATTTGGCAATGCTAACTGGCATGCATAACTAATCTTGAGAATAGTCAGGAGAATATTAAATATATACCCAGAAACGCGGAGGTGATGAGAGGAGGGGAATCCAACTGATTCAGGATTTGGGTGGAACCAGAAAAACCAAACCAAACCAAACCAAACCAAAACTGTTCCTCAACTGCCAGTTATGTCAGAGGTCCTGATAATGAATTAAAAAAACTATTTAATAAAAAGGTGTTTCAAGGTTAACCCTTGAGAGATAACTTCACACACTACATACCCTAACCAAAAGTTATTTACTATACATTCATTTTGGGACAGCTTATCCTATCCTTCTGAAATGAATAAAATTATTTGTACCTGGTTTGGAGTAGAAAATGTAGGCCAAATTTTATCAAATGTTTTTCAGAGAGAAAAAATAGAAAGCTTAAGGACTTTACACTCTCCTTTTTCAGCTCTTCCATCTCAGTTACTTTTTAAAGAACTGGCAGTAACAAATTTAATGGAAGGTTTTTATTTTATCTTGCCTGATATGTGTTGTAATGAGAATAGGTAAAAGGCATTTCCTGCCAGACAGAAATCCTGTGAGGTCTTGGACTTCACAGAGATAAAATTGTTTCTTAGGATATGAAGGGTTAGGGCAGGAGTTAGGTGAGGAAAGAGATAGGATTCAAAGGATATTTCTTTGCTGTTCTGAAACAGAGAAATGAACCCACAAACTGCAGTTAATTTTCATCATTACAATTTCTTACAAGAAAAAGAATTTGTCATTTTTAATTCATGTTCTTTGTGAATAGGTACAAAAGGGAAAATGCATGAACCCAGGATAGAATAATGTTCTAGTTAAAGATTTATTTTATTTTTATTTATTTATGATAGTCAGAGAGAGAGAGAGAGAGAGAGAGAGAGGCAGAGACACAGGCAGAGGGAGAAGCAGGCTCCATGCACCGGGAGCCCGATGTGGGACTCGATCCCGGGTCTCCAGGATCGCACCCTGGGCCAAAAGCAGGCGCCAAACCGCTGCACCACCCAGGGATCCCTAGTTAAAGATTTAGCAGAAATAAGACTATGACTGTGTCCAAAGCAAAAGGAGCTCAGGTGGCTTTAGGGGCTAACTGGCTCCTAAATTAGCAATGAGATCTTCTGAGATGTTGCAGAATAGTATTAGAAGGAGGTTTTACAAATATTTGCGTCTTTGAATGGTTGAGGATTCCCATTCTCAACCCAGAAGCTAAGGCTGTAATGTATGCTAGGTATAGATGAACAGATCTACAAATGTTGCCCCTCTGGGTCTCACCAGGAATAACTCACCATTTGGGAAATTCAATAAATAAGTGGAGGCACCCTGACCCAGCTACAGAAAGAATGGGCTACAGAAATTTGGCACTGTCCCATGGGCATCAAAGCTATGCCCATTTTTTAATTATTAAGAGATGTTGGTTTCAAAGTGGATACTATTGGACACACATACATATATAATATTATCTTAAATATCATTAGTTTATAAAAGGTTCTCCAATTTGAATATACTCATCTCAATATAGATATGGAGAACACAGCATTTATATTTACCCGTATATACATTTTATTTCTCTATTTACCAGAATTCCCTTTTTTTTTATTAAGCTTATTTTTTTATGCTTATCTATGAGATTATAAGACACAAAGAACTAATTTACTAATTTATTCTTACCTTAACCACACACAGAATTCCTTCATTGGTTTTCGGGTCTGTTACTATTTTAAAATTTTCATTTTCATTACCCTTTAAAATGGTATAATTAGCTCTCCAATTCGCAGTATTCATTAAATCCTTATCCTCAACAGTAACACGGAGGATTTCGACATCAACAGTATTTTCTTCCACTGATGTCACATACTGAAATAATAAAAACAACAAAAGAGCCTTAATTAGTAACTATTACAAATAGAACACTCTGGGAAACAAACTCAGTTTTTCTAATTTTCAAGGCCTATGTTTACATGATTGTAACTGTCACGTGGTTGGGGATACTGCGTTTGAAATCATGGGATGTGGATGGAGTTATGAATGTTTAACAATTAACACTGGGTCATACATTTTTCTTTTATTACTATCATGTACTTACAGAAGTACGGGTAAATGTTGGCAAGTTGTCATTTACATCATCAATATTAATGATGCAAATTGAAGTTGTCTGCAAACCAAAATATTGACCATCCATATCTTGTACTTTTATTTTCAACTGGTATTTATCAATTAGCTGAAAAGAAAGAATTTCAAAAAAAAAAAAAAGAATTTCATTACTGAGTGAAAGCAACATTATAAATGAAATCTTAATTTATACTCTGTAATTTTTCTTGCATTAAAAATGTAAGAAGTACACCATTAAATTTCATAGTTTTCAGGTACTGGCAAAAGAATAATTTCCTCACACTAGTCATTTTCTATTAATTTATGAAAATAGATTAGTTTTTCAAATTTAAAGTGCTACTCTATATAGAATATAGAAAAATTGGTTTTGGTTTTACTCTTTCTGGTGAGTAAATGAGCACATTTTAAAGTGCCTAGCAGTTAATCAAAATCTTTATTTCCTATCCAAATTACATTCTCATGTTGAAAACTACATAGCAGTGACTCTCATACCAGTCTTTTAATAATGAGGTAAAATACTCTCTCATAAAAAGGGCAGATTTTAAATATTTACATTTATAGAAAGATGAACTGTAATTTCTTTTCTCTCTATGGAAAATGTAATCTGGTTCTTAGGGTTTTATATTCATCAGGAATTGTGGAAGTCTCATTGCTAATGAAAAAAAAATAGTTTCTCCTCATAATGGTTTCATTTATCCTAAGTAAGGCATGAAAGGATTAAAAGCAACTCTAATAATAAAGCCCTCTGGATGAATTTAGAAGCTTTGGGTTCTTTTCCTAACTCTAAAAATAACAAATGTAATCTTTCTGGCAGTTGGAAAAGTCTTTTTAAGCTAGATTTTCTCTTCTATAAAATGATGATGCTAATACCTTTCCTATATAATTCATCTCTTTTCAAAGGACAAAATAATATGTAAAAAACCATCCTACCCTTCTACCAAGAATGTTTACCTTTCTCTTAATTTCATCACTTCTTAAACTTTCTTGTCCCTTATGTCTTACCTAAAATAAAACTAAAAATTTCTCTATCTCTATGCTTTTGACACATAATTTTCCTGATTTACTCTTCTCTCATAATCACATCTGCAGAATTGAAAAATACTGGCCTCATTTAAAAACTCATGCTAGTATACTTTTGGAGAAAATACATATTTTGTTTAATTAAGATTTACTCAAAATAATCAACTGGCTGATAAAAAAGCGAAAGAAATGAAGTTTGGGACATAAATATTCACTTGCAAGATCTTCAGATGGAAGAAAAATTGTGACACTTAAAGCGCTTAAGGGATTGAAGTGAAGAGATGAAAGCTGGAATCCTGGCATCAGTATGTGTCTCCAGAGCACTCTTAAGTAAAAACACTGCAAGATTCCTTCATTAGTCCAATGTTTTCAACTGACTTATTAGAAAGGGATATTCAAGACTTGATAATAAAAGAGGACTTGGTCTATATTCTGCTTTTCCTAAGCACATAAATTCTATGAAGAATCTGTATAGTTCCTGGAGCTATAATACAGAACAATTCATTCATTCACTTATTCTGCAAATGATACTGTATTCTTCACTGGCACATACAGTAAAAATAAATGAATTTATAAATAAAATACAATTATAATAAAATAAAATAAAATTTCACTTAGAAATGTCCTTGTAGATGCAGTAAAAAATTATAATTTTACTAAATTTTATTAAATTTCAACCCATTAGTCTAGGGAAGAAATGGGAGGTATGAATAAAGCAGTTCTGCTACATAACATAGCATGATGTTCTTCTCAAGGGAAGTACTTGTATGATTATTTATGAGCTGAACTAGCCATTGTTTTGGGGTTCTTATTCCATAAAATACCACTTTTACATAAAAGACATCTATCATTATTCAGACTAGTGTATTTGGAAGACCTTTTTTTAAAGATTTTATTTATTCATGAGAGACACATACACAGAGAGAGGCAGAGACATAGGCAGAGAGAGAGAAGCAGGCTCCATGCAGGGAGCCCAATGTGGGACTCGATCCCAGGGCTCCAGGATCACACCCTGGGCCAAAGACAGGCACTCAACTGCTGAGCCACCCAGGCTGCCCTGGAAGACATTCTGTTACACATAAAGTGAATCTGTCACTTCAAGGAAAAAAACTATTTGTTGCCAATGATAAATTGGAGTTTCAAACAAAAATGAGACTTCTTGAAAAATTTTATCAGCCATTGTAGTATCAATAGAGGTGAGAAGGTGACTTTTTCCTATATTGCTTAATGGAATGTGTCAATATATTGAAGATCTACATAACTCAGTGAAACTATTTTCCAAATGGTCAACACATGATGTTACAAAATCATACATGGGTAAATTGTCGACTCAGAGTACAAGATAGACCCATGGATTTTAATGTAACAAATTATGAAAGCTCATTGACAACAGGCTTCAGAATGCCCACTGCAAAAGACACATTTATGAAACTAGCATTTACAAAACAAAACTTGTCAAGTTTTGGTGTAGCATCAAAAGAGTAGCCACAATGATGTGAAATTACTATTAAAATACTCCTCTTTTGGGGTGCCTGGGTGGCCCAATGGTTGAGTGCCTGCCTTTGGCTCAGGTCATGATCCCAGAGTCCTGGGATGGAGTCCTGAATCAGGCTCCCTGCATGGAGCCTGCTTCTCCCTCTGCCTCTGCCTCTCTCTGTCTCTTATGAATAATAAAAAAAAAATACTCCTTTCTTTTCTAACTTCGTATCACGTTGGGTTTTCTTTATACATTTTAGCTAAAGCTACATATTATAACAAACTGAATACAGAAAGAGATAAGAGAATCCACCAGTCTTATATTAAGTCAGGTATTAAAGATACTTGGAAAAATGCATTATAGCTTCAGTCTTATCAGTAAATTATTTACTGTTTTGGAAAATGTAATTTTTTTATAAAAATGTTATTTATGATAGCATGTAATATATTTATTATTTTTAAAATGGGTGAATAAAGAAATATTTTAAACTTGTGTCAGCTTTAAATGCTAATGGAGTAAATATCAATAAATATTAACTCACATAAACAAAAGATCTTGGAATCTTCCATAAGATTGTAAAAGGTCCTGAGACCAGAAAATTTGAGGACCACTACTCTAATCCATGAGGATAAAGGAGAGGAAAATGAAATGAATCTGGTATGAAGTTTTAGGAATCAAGGAAATACCTGACAAACATGTATTACTATAGTTTAAGGATTATAAATGTAATAAGTAGGCCAGATAAACTGCTATAAGAATTCAGATGAATAAATGCTTGGTGAAGAGGCAATAGTTGAATAACCATGTGAATGACTCACTACATTAGGATAGTTACAGTGGAAATGGACAGAATATAAACAAAGACAATTTTGGAAGTAAGTGATCTGATCGAGGGAACAAGAGGAATCATCAAATACAATTTTGAGAATGTAAATTCAAGGTGTCAATATAAAAATTATCAACAAGAAAAGAATGTATTAATGTCTTTTTAACTAGAAAACATAGCAAGGAGAAAACATGTTTAGAAGGAAAAAAAGAGTTCGATTTTACATGAGTTGCAACTTTGGTACCTGTGAAACATCCAAATAAGGATTTCAAATAGTCAGTTGAAAATGGTAAACTAGCAATAAAAGGGAAATAAATTTACTTTTAATCAAATATATACGGGGAAGAATATAGATGAGATTGTTGGGGAAGGGATGACATAGGCAAAACAAAAGAAACATTGTTATCTGTAAATAACAAATTTCTGCACATTTTCAAAAGTTTCACTTTTCACATTTGATGTTTCTTGTTTTTACTACTATACTATAAAAATGTTAATATTGGGAAACTTGACTTTGTAAAACATACATATTTCAAGAGAGAACAAATTAGCAGTTCAAAATTGGCACATGGCAAAATTAATGACCTCCATCTGCATACTTAAAATATAACTTTTCTAAAATTAGATTTACAACATGCTTTTCACAAACAAATCCACAGGTGCTCTACAGAGATATACAGATATGATTAAATGGCGATGTGATAATCAGGTTGTGGCTGCTAATATTTATGTTACCTCTCTGTCTAGCTGAGATGAGGACGTGGTGATCACGCCTGTAGTTGGATGCATGGAAAATAGTGTGGGATACGCTGGCAACTGCTCGATGATGGAGTATTTGAGACGTGTGTGCATCGTGTCAGGTTCATCTTTGTCAGTTGCACACACCTGTCCCACCGTAGAACCTACATATGGGAAAAATACTTTTCAATTTCCAAAACTTTTGCCTTTCCAACTCTCCTTTTATTTCACCCCTTTCCATTTACCTCAAAAAGCTTTTGGGCCATCTGCAGACTTCTATATGAAGTATTATTTTTAAAAACTATCCCAGCATTGTAACATTTTTGAATTTGGGGACCATATCTGTATTTATTGTATTTAATGTATGATTTTTATAAATGTTGATAATATCCCTCCATTGCCTTTGTATCTCTAGACAAAAGAATTCTAACTACTCTTTACCCTTTTGCTATTTGTAGGTCTGCCCTTAATTTGATCAAATGGTCAAAAATTTGTCCAAAACTCTTAATTTAGTTAGATCTTTCTAGGAGACTCAAAAATGGCATTCTGACTTCCAGCTGTTATGGTCCATTGACATAAGCTTAAGAAAACATTTGTATTATTTTCAATGATCTTTATGATAATGCTCAGAATATTGTCAATCACTTAACCAGTACAGAATATCAATAGATCTCTTCAAGGCTAAGACTTCAATTGCACAAAGACATTCTTTTCAGAGTGTGTGCTCTTAAAAGTATTTATCTCACACAGAAAGGCAAAATAACATGTATCAAGTAATTTCTCTAGTTTTCGGGCACTGAGCTTGGCATTTCAGGTTTATGATGTGTCATTAATCTTCATAACAATCTTGCATATCAATAACCCGTTTTACAGATAAGGAAATAAGGCTTGTCAAGACCAGGAAACTTGACCAGTGTTACAGAACACAGCTAGTGAAAGGCAGAGCAAATTCCACCCACAGCAGGCCTGATTGGCAAGTCCCTTGTTCTTGCCAGCAGGATATGCTTCCTCCCAATAGCCAAAGTGAAATTCAACTTATGAATTAAAACACTAACTTGCACACATTGTTAAGGTAGATACGCACCAACTCTGCAATTTTCAGAAATTGTAAAAACATAAGTTTTTTCTGTAAAAATTGGGTAGTTGTCATTTTCATCCTCAACTCTGATTACCAGTGGCAGTGGAAGTTCTGGAGTGTATCCGTCTGGAGTTGTGGCAAAGGCAATTAGCTGTGAAGAGTTAAATAAGGAAAAAAAGCAAAATCAAAATATGGTTCCAACTTCCTTTGGCTTTAATTTGGAGACTGTTCAGCATTGCAGTCTGAGTTTCACCATTTGCTATTGTCTGGGGATGTGGACATAACCTTAATGTCACAGGAGGTAGTTAATCTCATGGTGTACGATAGCATTTTGTTTGTCTAATATAATAACATAGGTAATTTTGGTTTCTTTACTAGTGCTGTACTGTTGATGAGTGTTAAAGCTTTTATTATTATTTTCCCAGAACAGTCTTAAAGATTATTTTGTGGGTTTTTTGCTTTGTTTTATTAAATTTCTTATTTTAACTCCATTGTTAACATAGTGTTATATCAATTTCAGGTGGACTATAGTGATTCAACACTTCCATACAAACACCCAGTGCTCATCAAAAGTGCCCTCCTAATCTCCATTACTTATTTCACCTCCCACCCACCTGTAACCATCAGTTTATTCTCTAGTTAAGTCTGTTTCTTGGTTTGCCTCTCTTTTATTTTTCCCTTTGCATGCTTGTTTTGTTTCTAATTTGTTTAAATATTTTATTTATTTATTCATGAAAGACACAGAGAGAGAGGCAGAGACACAGGCAGAGGGAGAAGCAGGCTTCATGCAGGGAGCCCAATGTGGGACTCGATCCCGGAACTCCAGGATCATGCCCTGCGCCAAAGGCAGACACTCAACCACTGGCCACCCAGGCATCCCTGTTTTTGTTTTGTTTCTTAAATTCCAAGTAAGTGAAATTATATGGTATTCATCTTTCTCTAACTTATTTCATTCAGCATTATATTCTCTAGCTCCATCCATGTCATTCATGTCACTGCAATGGCAAGATTTCATTCTTTCTTATGATTGAATGATAATTCCTCCTTTATTGAAGATTAATTGACCATATAATTGTAGGTTTGGGTTTATTTCTTGGGTTTTCTATCCTATTCCATTGATATGTCTCTATTTTCTTTTTAAGATTTCATCCATTTATTCATGAGAGACACAGAGAGAGCAAGAGGCAGAGACACAGGCAGAGGGAGAAGCAGGCTCCATGCAGGAGCCCGACGTGGAACTTGATCCCGGGACTCCAGAATCACCCCCTGGGCCGAAGGCAGGCGCCAGACCGCTGAGCCACCCAGGGATCTCCGGATATGTCTCTATTTTTATGCCAATACTATATTGTTCTGATTAGTATAACTTTGTTTATTTTTAAAGATTTTTTAAGTAATCTCTACACCCAGCATCAGCTTAACCTCACAACCCTGAGATCAAGTCACATGTTTCACCAAATGAGGCAGCCAGGTGCCCCAATTAGTACAGCATTGTAATATAACTTGAAATCTGGATTTTTTTTTCTTTTTCAAGACTGCTTTAACTATTCAAGGTCTTTTGTTGTTCTATAAAAATTTTCAGACTGTTCTAGTTCTGTGAAAAATGCTGCTGGTGTTTTGATAGTGACTGCATTAAATCTATAGATTGCTCTGCATAGTATAGACATTTTAACAATATTTGTTCTCCCAACTCATGAGCCTGAAATCTTTCCATTTCTCTATTATTTTGTTTTGTTTTAAAGTTTCAGGAGCATAGATTTTTTTTTTCTTTTCTTTTTTTTTTTTTTTTTTTTTTTTTTTTTTTGGTGCATAGATTTTCAATATCACTTTCTGGATCTTTGTTAACTTTGGATTCTTAGAACTCCAAACTCCCCAGGTACAGTTAACTAGAATATTATCTTATTACTTACTATATTATCTTACTATTCTTAGTAAGTAGAATTTTATGCATATTGGTAGTTATATTTAGATAACTCTCTTCATGAGGATTTTTTAATTTAAAAAGGGAAGTCAGAGGATTTTTTAATTTAAAAAGGGAAAGTCAGAAATAGAATAAATGCACAGCTATAAATTTTGCGTGGAATGAAATTTCTTTCTCTTAATTTTATAATATGAATTTCAATTCCAATTTTTCTCATAACAGTTCTCAGAGAAAGCAGACTATCTCAAGTACTTAGAAGGCCATCTTGTAGCAATTCTAAATTAAATGTTCAATTCTAGGGGTGCCTCAGTGGCTCAGTTGGTTAGCATCTGACTCTTGGTTTCAGCTCAGGTCATGATCTCAGGGCTGTGAGGTTGTGAGATTGAGTCTTGTGTAGGGCACTGTGCTCAGTGTGGAGTCTGTATGAGATTCTTTCCCTCTCCCTCTGCTCCCCCCTCCCTACTCAGGATCTCTCTCTCTCTCTCTTTCTCTCTAAAATAAATAAATAAATAAAATCTTTTTTAAAAAGTAACATTACCATACCAAGATCAATCTAAGAATCTAATGGTATTTCTTTTTGTTTCAAATTTGTGCTATCAGATGTAACCAGAGCATAGACAACAAGCTCAGAGAATAGAAAAAGGTAAATAAATTGAGAATGAGAGATTAAATAGCCAAGCTTAATAATCATTAATACAATATGTAAACTTCAGACTTTACCTCAAAGGATTCATATTCTTCACGATCTACAGGACGAGTACAAAACAGATTTCCAGTATCTCTCTCTACATAAAATAAATTCTTAGGTTCTCGGTCCACCCCAGGTCCTCTTATGGAATAGAATATAGTGTAGTTTTGTGCAGTGTCAGATTGAATCTAAAAAGTAGATATTATATGCATAAGAGACAAATTTTTATTTCAGCAAAACTTTCATCTATATATATTTCTCCAATCACGTTGCCATGTTTGTTGCAATAAGTAACTGTCCCCTTTATTATCATGTATGAGTAAGAAATAGCAATAAAATAAGGAAGACTCATAACTGAGAAATTTCAAGAGCAAGGCATGAGGACAACAATGTAGTAGTGTCTTAGTTTTCCAAAATAACTGAGAAATGCTTTAAAGGCTAAATGGATCCTATGTGGACCAAACATTTAAGACTTTAACTGTCAGAGAAAAAGTATTCTGAGCATGAAAAATTACCCTTTTGTCAAGTTTTTAAGCTTGAGTTTTTATTATACATAACATCTGAGACGTTCAGTTTAAAGTTACTGTCTACAGGACAAAACCATGGGAAATGCCTTCCTTAATTAGTTTCTGTTATTTGTCAGCATCTTTTTTACTATGGAAGCTGAGGTGAAAGAAGGGGTGGAAATGGATATGAGTGAGAATAGAAATGACATAATATCCTGGTAAGTGTTATTTTCTGGTAAAAGCCAGTATTTCCCCTCGTTCTTTTGATCCTCTTAGTAAGATCTTAACTGTATGTCAGGATGACTAACAATTATTTTCAAATTATTTCTTTCCCAAATTTAATATGCTCTTCTCTCAGCTACATTAAATTTGTTGGTAGGAAATAAAGAAGAGTTCTCTCTCAAATTTCAAGAACTGAGAAAAAAGAAACCTAAGTCAAAGATTGAATGGTAGTGGCTGTGGATATTGGAAGAAGGCAAGATTTGCTGAGGTTGCTACTAAAAGTTAAAAGAGAGAGAAAATATGGATCTAGTATGATTTAAGTAGTGGACTTGAGGAAAAACAATAAAAAGGACGTATGTGTCTTTTCCCCTTCATGGCATTTGTCTTTGTGTCAGCAATTTCATCTATTATGGAATATGGGGGTTGCTAGACTATGTACGCTTGCTAACATGAAAATTCATTAAGGAACCATGTGTTTGAGAGTGCTAGATGGGTTTTACAATTTCATAAATGGTCTTTGCATGAGTAAACTACAAAAAACTGTATGCTAGTATAAAAATATATATTTATATCCATTTATTGAAACATATAATACACATACTCATGTATTCATATACAACTGTTTTTAAAATAACTACATATTCATTGTCCAAATTAAAAAAAAAAAGGAAATCATGGAATTTCACAGTGAAAGGATAGTAAATTGTACCTGTTGAAGAAAAAGTGGGAAAGGACCCAAAGAATTCTCTTGCATTGAACAAGGAATAGGAGCCCATCTTCTCTTGGCACGTCTTAGAACTTTTTCTTTAGAATGTCTTTTCTTTAGTACCTCAATTTAGAACACAGGAAAAAAAATAAAGTCAATGATTACTTTATTCACAAACGTTGGAATTCTGACACATCTCTCATGAGGATTAACTGGGAAGGTGTAAGACCATGGTCGTGCTTGAAAACCAAAGTAAATATCAACACTGCAAAAAGGTAACAAAAAAAATAATAACTGTCTTAACTGTTATTACATCAATCCTCTTGAGAAAATAACTTGGTACAAATATGGAAGAAAAAGAGATGGAATTGGAAGCCTAGAAGCAAATTTTAAAAACAAAACAAAACAAAACAAAACCAATGTTACTGCTGCCATACTGCATACATGCAAAACCATGGGAGGAGAGAGATGCAAGAGAAAGGAATATACAGTTGAATGACCTTCTAAATCCAGCATATGCACCTTCCACTCACCAGCAGCTAGGAAGAGCCACAGGCCAAAATAGAGATCTGTGTCAGAATGAGGAGGGAAAAAAAGGGTGATAACTCTCAAGCTGCTGCAGTGAATAATGGCCAATGGTTGAACAGAAGTCGTCTGGATCTCTAGTATCAGAATACAGGAAGCATGTGTGAGGTCTTGACCTCAAACTAACACAGCCATTTACTGTTTAAGACTACAAATTACGCTGTCTGAGACACAGAAGACCTCCAGAGATAGAGTTTCAAAACTTGTGTTTTGAAAGGAAAGATCAAGCAATGTGTCTTTGTACCTGATCTCAAGTTCTCATGCTGCAGCATCCCCATTTCTCCATTCATGTCCCATATGAAAAGGAATTACAACCTAGAATAACTGATGTGGTGACTTTTCCATCATTTGAACACTTTTAAAGTGCATGATGGTTTCCATTCTTCACCAAGCTGAGCTATCCCACATCTTCTCTGATTCCACATCTTCCCTGGTAATGCTACAGCTGCAGAAAATAATTCATTATACTTCATTCCTATAGTGTGGCATACCTTAGTTTGATGCTGTAAAAGAACAAGTATTTTCTTTTCTTCTTGGTTCTCAGTGTTGGAAAGTAATATGCTAAAACTTCTCTCCTCTGAAGACAAAACAGCATTTGTTGTATAGACTGAACCATCTTCTAAAATTTGGAAATCAGGATCACTCGAATGAATCAGATTTGCAGACTGAAAGCACTCCTTCAGGTTAACTGTAGAAAATATACACAGCAATCATTTGTAAGGAAAAACAAAACAATATATGGTATTAACAGTAATCTATGCATTTGTGGGGGGGGCAAAAACTTAAAATTCATTACACTGATTCTTGTAAATGTTGAATTTTTAAAAGCACATATGAAACTATATGGTTAATTAAACTGTGCATAAACACTTACATCACTTCTAATACCTACTTTACATCCTTAAAAAAAAAAAAGATATTTGTCCTGAAATAAAGGCATGTAAGGTCCAGTTTTTTAATATGTAAACCAAACCAAAACAAGTTTTTCTTTATTAACTGAAATTAACTATAGAGTAACACATGTGAGACTTAAAGGGAATCTAGAGACTTAATCAGTAGTTTTTAAACTAACTCTTTGTAACTACTGTTAGTCACTATATTCTGTGTTCTCACTGGTCTGCTCTTTCCTTGTACATTTTGAGTTTTGTGAAAAAACTAACTGATAAGGGGTGTCTGGGTGGCTCAGTTGGTTAAATGTGGGACTCAACTTCAGCTCAGGTCATGATCTCAGGGTCGTGGGGTCCAGCCCTGTGTCAAGGCCCTCTGCCTAGGATACTCTCTCCCTCTGCCTCTGTCCCTCCCCTGCACTGTGTGCATGCACTCTTTCTCTCTCTCTCCCTTTCTCTCTCTTGTGCACACGAAAAAAAAAAAATGATATAAAGCTATATGTGGAAATACATATCGGTGAGAAGCCAAAATGTTTAATGATTAAATCCAAAAACAACACTTTTAAACTCAATAAACAGTTTCAATACTATTTCCCAGCTTCATAGAAGAATGTTACCATGTATACTGTACTTTGCATCTAGTATAAATACTAATAATTATTTATTACTCAAACTAAATCTTTTTATCTACTTTATGTAATCATGTTTTTCAAAAAAAGGAATATTCCTTTTATTGAAATGACACCAAATGTATTACAAATGATAATGTATTATGTTAGTTTTAACTATGAATTCCAAGTTATCCTTCTAAAAATTACATTAATTTTACAATATCATATCAAGTAAGATTTATTACACATTTAATCAGTTTCTTACCTCTACCGACAAATTTCTCAGCATCTAGTTTGGAGGGGACATGTAGTATGACTTTTTTGCAGGCATCACAGGTAAATGTTAAGATCTAAAATATCAAATCAATATTATGCATTTAAAAAATATCCTTTTAATGTGCATATAGTTTACATAAATTAGAAATTGGCATAATTATAAATTAGTTTATACAATGAGAAAAATAAAATTTAAAAACATAACACTGGGAACGCCTGGGTGGCTCAGGGGTTGAGCGAGAGCCTTGGGCTCAGGGCATGATTCCGGGATCTCGGATGGAGTCCCACATCAGGCTCCCCGCATGGAGCCTGCTTCTCCCTCTGCCTATGTCTCTGCCTCTCTGTGTGTCTCTCATGAATAAATAAATAAAATATTTTAAAAAACAAAGCATAACACTGTAGTAGAAATCAGGACAAAATTGTATGGAAACAAAGAATAAAACAATAGACCAAGGGATGCCTCAGTGGCTCAGCGGTTGAGCGTCTGCCTTTGGCTCAGGGCATGATCCCGGGTCATGGCTCCCCCTCCTTCACAAAGCATGTAAAACCCAGGAATTCCGGGACGCCTGGGTGGCCCTGTGGTTGAGCATCTGCCTTCGGCCCAGGGCGTGATCCCGGGGTCCTGGGATCGAGTCCCACATCGGGCTCGCTGTGAGGAGCCTGCTTCTCCCTCTGCCTGTGTCTGCCTCTGTCTGTGTGTGTCTCTCATGAATAAATAAATAAATCTTTAAAAAAAAAATCCAGGAATTCCTTACCCTCTTGGGTTTTGTTTCTTATTCTGTAAAAAAGAATTAATAGTAAATTCACTGACTAATTTAGTGAGTATATCCAGGAACGAATGACACCCTGTGTGAGAGAATAGTAACAATTCAGGAAGGCAGCACAGGTATGCGAATAGGAAGGAGAAACAAAAACAAATTTCCAGAGTCAGCAAAGTGTTTCAATTGTCAATTGCCTATGAGCTATGGTACCAAATCAATAATATCTTAAACAAAACCCAATGCTTTACAGAGAAGCATGAACTCATTATCACAGAGCAACTTGGAGATTATTTATCTATGACCCCATACAAACAAGCACATAACTTTGAAATATGAATTTATTTTGGAGGCACATCTTCTCATAAATGATCAAGGTCATTTTATAAAACATTCCACTTAAAATTTTTTAAATGAGTTAGTGATTTATGGCAACCAATTCCAATACTATATGTATTTGAACACACTGAAATTTAATTCTGTTCTAAAACTGTATAATGCACACTTCTGAAAGATTCACAATTCTATAGTTTTGCAAAGGCCTTTGGCCAAAAGCAAGATAGCTGACTAGCACTGACACTGTATTTACAAAGTCTATAAACACAAATTAAAATTTGGATTAAAATATTTACGTCTAAGACAAGTTTTATTTCCATGACACATGCCAATATACATTTAATTATCCAAGTTAAATTATATAGGAAGTGATTACATGTCATTTGGAAATCAATGGATGGACACAGTGAAGAGCCTACTTGGAAATTAAAAGTTGAGAAGAGTGTTTGTTTGTTGGCTGTATCATCTTAGAACAGGAATAAAACAAGATGTGTGAAGAGTCCAACTCAAGGTGGTTGAAAGCATGTATCTACTTATTCATTCAACCCCCATTTACTGGTTGCTTACTAGGTGCAAGGCAATGCTCAGCAGTGAACAAAGCAAAGTCCTTGACCTCACGGAGACTACCTTATATTGACTGAGAGACAAAAAAATAAATACACAAAGGTCATATAATGCCAAAAGATAAACATTAAAGCAGGGAGAAAAGGTGATAAAGGGAAAACCAGAAGCCTGGATGAAATAAGGAAGCAAACCAGTTCACTAAATAGGGAAAAGTCTTCTAGGTGGAAGAAAAACCAGAACAAAGACCCCAGAAGAGGATTTTACCTGGTGTGTTAAAAGAACAAAAAGGCAGTCATGGAAGGAATGCACAGTGAGGGAAGAGTGATACAAGATGATATTAAAGGGACAATCATGGACATATTATGTGGGATCTAAAAGGTCATAATGGGAGTGCAGATTTTATTCTGAGTGCAAAGAGAAGCAGCCATAGGTTTAGAAGCTATGGAGTGGCATAATGTGGTGAGCATTTACAATGACTCATTCTGGTGGCCCCAAGAGAATGGACTACAGAGAAGCAAGAGTAGAAGCAAGAAGACCAGTTGGGAGGTTCCAACAGAAATCTAAGACAGGGGAGATCCTTGGGTGGTTCAGCGGTTTGGCACCTGCCTTTGGCCCAGGGCGTAATCCTGGAGACCCGGGATCAAGTCCCGCGTTGGGCTCCAGGCATGGAGCCTGCTTCTCCCTCTGCCTGTGTCTCTCCCTCTCTCTCTCTCTCTCTCTCTCTCTCTCTCTCTCTCTCAAATAAATAAATAAATAAATAAATAAATAAATAAATAAATCTTGAAAAAAGAAAAAAAGAAATCTAAGAGAGGGAGAATGGTGACTTAGACTAAGATAAAAAGAGCAGACAGAGAAGGTGAGAAATGTCAGATTATGTCAATACTTTAGAGAACAGTATCCTGGACATCCATTCATTTGTGCATTTAACTAATATTTACTAACATTACTGAAAGTCTACTATGTACCAGACACAGAGCAATAAACCCAATCTTCATGAAACATTGAGTTCAAGGATAAGATATAGTTGTAATTTCAATAAAGGAAGATAAATGCTCTAAGAGAGAGAGATATAGGATGCTATAGGATAGCAGGGGAACTAGCCTCATCTAAGAGCCAGAGGAAGTCACCAGAAGAGGGGCTATATATTAGCCACGCCAAGAGCTTATATGTTCCAAACACAGAAATGGAATATGTGAAGCCCAGAAATGACACAGATCTTCCTTTATGGGCCATTTTTATTACTTTATGGCACCTTCTCACACCCATGCTCATGCTGGACTATTTAATTTATGAGAGCTCTTTATATACTTGTAGATAAGCCTTTTAAAATATGATCTGCATTTTTTTTTTCCAATTTGAGTTACCTTTGACTTTGCTCTTAATACTTTGGTTTGGTTTGGGTTTTTTTTTTGCCATGGACAAGTGTGTATATGTCTTAATATAATTGATTTATATTATTAATAATATATTTACATTAATTATTATAACAATATAATTGCTTTTCTCGATATTAATAAATGGCTTTTGAAATCTAAGCCATGTGAACCATAGATAGGCCTTCTTGACTCCAACTTAAATAGGAATTCACCGTGTCTCCTATTATCTGTATGGTATCATATGTTACATACAAATCTTTCATCTGTTTGGACTTCTTCTGTGGTGCTCTGCATGAGGTATGGGTTCAACACACAACTTTATTCACTGTGACATTATTTGTAATAGCAAAAAGTAGTAGCAGAGGTTATGTATAGAAGCAGAGATATCCGCAAGGTAACTCTGAATGTAGATTTAATGGGACTTAATGATGGATTTGGGGAGGGGAGCAGTGAAGAAGGAAAAACAAACAGCTTCCAAACTTCCTACCTGAGCAACAAGGTGTATGGTAGTGTCATTCACTGAAATACAGGGCTCAAGAAAAGCAGCATTGTTTGAGAAGATAATAACTGCTGTGTCACACATCATATTAGGTAGACATAGACTTATTGTTCGAGGAAGACATCCCAACTAACAAATTTAGTATAAGGAGGCACCTATACTACTTATACTAAGTCCTATTAGTATAAGGCACCTATACAACTTATACTACTTATACTAAGTCCTATTCAAGGACAGGACCTAGAATAGAGATTCTAATTCTGAGTAGTCAGAAACAGGAAGGTCAAAAGAAAAAAGGGAGTGAGTTTCAATAAAGGCACAATCTACACGGTGGAATCCTATAAGGAATGGTTTATATTTAGCAAGGGAGATCCCTATGACCTTAGAAAGCGAGCAGCCTACTAAGGTGTTTAGGTAGAAACCAGAGTTCAAATGGTTAAGACATGTGTGAGGTTAAAAACGATATCAGGAAGCAGGAGAAGCCCATTTGTGGAATAGTGAAGGATTAATCGGGTACATGGAGAGAAGGAAATGTAAAGGGTGTTTCTCCAGTGAATAGGAATTATTCACTCTTATTTAATAATATCTTCTACTCAAATGCTCTTTACACATCTATCATACTCGAGGCTCCCAACCACAAGAACCGTTTGAGGCTGGCAGGACTTTGCCCAGCCAGATATGCACACGAACACCAGAACAACCTGAAGAACGCACACCACACCTTCCAGCTAGAATGTAGCAGGATAAGGGGTGTACCCAGAGCCAGCGCTTTTTTCTATCTATCCCACTTCAGGCTAAACCAGCTTTGAAGCTAAGAAAAGCCAAGGAATGAGGATTAGGAATAAATTCAGAATAAGCCAAGGAATGAGGAAAGAATCCCCTTTCGTTTATATACTTTATTGTTTTTCTTCTCAAAAGGATCTGAGATCACACAGAGAAAGTTTTGTGCGTAAGCATATGTGAAGCAATGCTATTTATCGCCCATACGTATTATTGTCCATGCTTAATTACTCCTTTTCCTTCAAAGAATGATCAAAAAGAAGTGGCAACTTTATTAGGGATCTAACCAAAGTTGTTTCTTTGTCATTGACTACATATTTTGCGACCGTTATTTATTCCATTCTTAGTTTTCTGAACGGTAAAATATTAATTGCTATGCACCTGGCACTTTCTATGATACCAATGTGCCCTGGGAACTTAACAAAGGGTTTGAGTCCATAGGATTCCTAGAGAAAGACATTAATGATAGTAACAACGACAATTTCGGGGCTTAAAAATTTAAAGAATTCACCGTCAACTAAGAGCAGTTGAGAAGTGAAGTAATTCGAGTATTTCCTCCCCCCTGTTCCAGCACTCCCAGAAGGAATCTTCCTGCTGTCTGTTCTTCAGGTGTGTCCCCTTGTCCTTCAGGGAACTTTTTTTTTTTTTAAGTTTTTATTTATTTATTCATGAGAGACACAGAGACCTAGGCAGAGGGAGAAGCAAGCTCCCTGCATGGAACCTGATGTGGGACTTGACTCCAGGATCCAGGGATCAGGACCTGAGCCACCCAGGTGCCCCTCCTTCAGGGAACTTGAGTTCCAGTGCTTGGGGCTCAACAGGAAAGGTCACTAGCGGGTTGAGCACTCTTTGGCACCTGGTCTATTTAATTTTTCTCTTCCTAGGGGACTCAGGAAATCCAGTCTGGGAAACCTCTGATCCCAAACTCTCCCAGGGGCTGTCCATCGGCTTTGAATTCCCCTACCTTCTGCCTCCCCCTCACTCCCCCTGCCCTGGCCCGGCCCTGAGATCCCAGTCTCTTCTGCCAGTGAGGGGGGCTGTCCCTCCCCAAATAAAACCACCCCTTCTCGCTCCGAAGATTGGGTGCGTGGAGTCACTGCTACAGTGTTCTTTAACATGGGAAAGAAGTTAGAGCCAGAGGGCCTAGGAAGAGAACCTCGATGCCTCTGTGCACAAGAAATCCGGACGAACATTTCCCTAAAAGATGAAGGTGGGGCAGCCGGGGTGGCTCAACGGTTTAGCGCTGCCTTCAGCCCAGAGCCTGATCCTGGGGTCCCAGGATCGAGTCCCGCGTCCGGCTTCGGGCATGGAGCCTGCTTCTCCCTCTGCCTGCGTCCCTGCCTCTCTCTCTCTCTCTCTCTCTCTCTCTCTCTCTCTCTCTCTCTCTTTGTCTCTCATGAATAAATAAACAAAATCTTTAAAAAAAAAAAAAAAAAAAAGGTCAAGGTGAAGGCAACCGCACAGGCCGACAAACAACGGGACCATAGAAAGGGTCACCTAGGGCCCGCCCCTCCACCGTTTCCCGGCGCAGAGGGTCGAGACCACTCCTGCGCGCACACTCCCACCGCGAGCCGCCCCTGGGAGCGCGCCCCGCCCTCCCTTGGACCCCAGGCGAGCGCTTTCCGCGGGGTCCTCCGCGCCGGCCTTCGCGGCGGCCGGGCCGGGCCGGGCCCCCAGGCAGAAGCGGCCCGCGCCTCCCCCGCCGACGGCAGGCGCCCCACGAGCCGCGCGGCCCGCTCCTACCCAGAGGCCACGGTCTGCGATGGGCGTTTGCGGCTGGCGTCTGCGTCTCCCGCCGCCCGCGCCGATTACATCTGCGGCCGACACCCTCCTCCCCGCCTCCGGGATCGCGGCGCCCAGGCCGCCCGCCCGCCCGCCCGCCCGCCCGCCTCGCGCTGGCACCCTGCCCCCGTTTGCACTGCGCCCCGGGTGCAGCCAGGCGGCGGCCCAGTAACCCCGGCCGCCCCCCCCGCGCCCCCCAGGCGGCCGCGGCCACTCACCGCGAGGGTCAGCAGCAGCTGCGCGCCGAGGGCTCCGCTGGCGGCGCGGGTGGCGCGGGCCGGCGCCATGGGACACGGCGGGGCCCGGCGGGCTACTGCGGAGGCGCCCGCGGCCGGAGCGCGGGAGGAGTGCGAGCCCCCGCCGGCGGCGCGCGGGGACGGCGCTGTCCCTCGGGTGTCTGAGGCGCCCGCCGCGCAGCCGAGGGGCTTTTCCTCTGGCCGAGGGTGGGGCTCCAGGCGCGGCCGAAGGACACCGATCGGCCCCTCCTTGCTGTGTTCTCAGGTCTTCATTTCTGGAAGAGCGCAGCAGGAGGGAACTCCCTGTCGCCGCCACCCAGTCACCTGCGCTAGGTGTTCTCAGCCACGGTCGCCACCTATATGCCCCATCACCCCCTCCCCCGCCCCGGTGTCCGCCTGGGAGATCAGCCGCCGGCCCTGCCCAGCCGGAGCCCTGACGGTAGCAAGACTCACGGCCCGGGCGCTCCCGGCCCCGCCCCGCCCCGCGCGCTGCCCTCTCGGCCCCGCGGCGGCCAGCTCGGGGGCCTCCCAGCTGGAGCTCACGCCGGGAACAGCTGCAGCCACGTCCTGCAGAACCGTCCAAAGTGCGGTTCAGAAGAGAGGGTTTTCTTCTGTGGCACGCCTTTCTTTGGGGCTCTTGTTTTGGGTTTTAGAAATTGCATGGCCGATAGAGCAGAGACGCAAGAAAATTACCATGAATTAAAGACGTTAATTCATTACTTAAGGGATTCCAGGCTACAAAAAATAAAAAATAAAAAAAATAAAAAAATCAAGGGTAAGCCACTACAGAAAACGCATCTCTCCAGATGCTAGATGTTGACTAAATGTGTGCTATGGCTCTACTCCAAGACCTTCCCTTGTCCCGAGGTAAAGCCACCCACTGACCTTGTACCTGTCTCCTAAACTGACCTCCTGGACATCTACTGGAGATTTCACTCTTCCTTTCCTACCACCAAAACCAGAATTTGCAGTGAGAAAAGAAATAGAATGGGACACAATTTATGTTTGGTTTGCAGTTTACTTAAATGTCTGCAGTCCTTAACCTAGACGATTAAAATCTGAAAGCAATATGCTTGTGCCCTCCAGGAAACAATGACAGGGCGTTGTGACTCACCTTCCTGCACCTCTTTTCAACTACTGGCTTAAACCAGGAAGCCTGACCACAAAGGAGAAACCTGTCGGTTCCATTTCATTTGGTTCCTCACCCCTGGCATGTTTGGAGAAACCTGTTCGAAAAGCCTACCATGTCACTCACACCATTTCCATTCCTAAAAACAGGTACCATCCTATACCATTATTCACAGAGTCAAAACTCTTATAATACTGACATATAGCTGAACTCAAAAGCAATGTCAAGCACTACCTGGCTTACATTCTACGTATTAGTCCCATGCTCTTTTCTATTAATGAATGACACATAGTGAGCTATTCTGTTATTTCCATAGCCACAAAATATATCATTGAACTTTTGCTAATAAAATAGGCCTGGGTCATCGGCATGAGTCTATAGTTGACGCGCTTCTGTTTCCATGTTTTTTAACCCTCGTGTTTGACTGGCAATGATTTCATGAGCACACCTCATCCTATTAGTGACATCATGAAGCTTTCCAAAGGATAGAGAAGCAAGCTAGTTTCAGGTTCTAGAAATCTACTCAGTCTATCATCATAGTACTTGACAATAGAACATTTCCAAACTCTTCCCTACCTTTCAACCCCTAATGCCTTGAGGGTAGCTTGTGTTTTTCCTCATTCCAGAAAAGGGTGGAAGAGCAATCTGAAAAGAATTCATCTTAGATACTTATTTTCATATTTCACACCAAGTGCCTAATCGAAGGTATTAAAATGGTGATGGGGGGTGGGAGTGTATTGTGACCTTTTTTTTAGACAAACCAATTAAATACAACGGACTTACTATAAACGAGTGGCCCAATTTATTTAAGGATTTCGATTAGATTATATGGTCACTGAAATGGATTCCTCTATAATACAATTTTGAAATAACAGGTGTAAATTTGAAGAGACAATGAAATGGGTGTAGAGGAATTTTTTTTAAGAATGTCTTTTGGTCTTTTGGAGGGTTCCCGAGTGGCTCAGTTGGTTAAGCCTCTGCTTTCTGCTCAAGTCATGATCTCAGGGTCCTGGGATCCAGCCCCATATCTTTGAGCTCCCAGCTTCTTTCTCTACTCTTCCCTGCTGCTTGCTGCTTATGCTCACAGTCTCTCTCTTTCTCAAATAAATAAATAAATGATCTTTTATGCTTTTAAAGAAAAAGAATGTCTTTTGGCTGAGAAGATAACTCTGCTATCTTGAACTGGATTCCCAAAGTGCAGCAGCAAAGCGTGCACCAGACCAAAAGTCAGAAATAACCTAAAGGGAGTCGCAGAGAGATGAGATCATTAAAGTAATACCGGCTGCTATCTATAGCTTCCCCTTGTAAAATTAAACTACTTAGACTTCTTGTGGCTGCTTTCTTGAAAAGCTTAGCTGGAAATGGATGCTGATACATTCTACATGGAAAGTCAGAATCAGAGTAGTCCTTCGAGAGAAGAACAAACAGCAACCCCAGGTCCCTGGGGGCACATCTATGGCACCTGGCTTCATAGTTTTCTAATTTCAGAAACCAGCAAGTACGCACATTAATGGTGACAAAAACATCTCAGTTACTCACTGAAGTGAGTAATATAGAGATAGCTCTTCCTGAGTTGCATGATTTCTGCCAGTCTTCCCACTACTGGAAGCTGGGGAGGAGGGTCCACATGCATAGGTGACTCTCAGGGCAAATCTATCTGGGGGTGGTGTAGGGCCCAGAATGAAACCCAAAAAGTAAAGGAATCACAGACTTCCTGAGAAAAGAAAAAAGAATAAAGGACATCTCTAGTTACTTGAGAGGTGAGGGTACAGAGGGAAACAACTGATAACCACAGTAAAATGAGTACAATTAGAGCATTTACCTCCCAGAGTTGTTGCAAAATTAAAGGCATGCAGAGCGTGCCGGGGTGGCTCAGTCAGTTAAGCATTTGCCTTCAGCTCAGGTCATGATCCTGGGGTCCTGGGATTGAGTCTGAGCAGGGATCCTGATGTGGGGACTCTGCTTCTCCCTCTGTCCTTCCCCTCTGCTCATGCTCCCTCTCTCTCTCTCTCTGCCTCAAATAAATAAATAAAATATTTTTTTAAAAGAAGAAAGAAAGACCTCTAGAATAAAATCTGGCATGTGCTAAGCATTCCCTAAGTGCTAGTTTGGTATCCCTCCTGGGCTACTTTACTTCTACAACCCCCTCATAACCCCACCCAACCTCATCTCTTCCGCAGCTCCCCGGTTCCTGTTCTTCCAGGACCCACCTCAGATCCAGGTCTAGGGCTAACCCCCAGGGTCAAGTCACTCACCGACTCAAACTCTTCAACCGCCATCCCCTCAACATGACCCCCAGACTTTGCTCCAAACGGATCAGGTATGCAATACCAAGATGAGATGCCACAATGTGCTGCTGTGTACTTTCTGAAAATTTAGACCATTTTTTTCCTAAAAAGAATCCTTTTATGTAATGGGAGAAATGTTTTTAAAATGTTGTTTTTTGTCCCATAAATCAAATTTTCATTTTGTCAATGCTGCCCATATTTCTTTGAAGTTCTCTTTTCAAAACTGACCTGAATAAAGCATGGTATACTAATCAAACTCAATTTCCATGGCATTTCAAAGTATATTTTTGAACTAATTAGAGTGTGAAATAAATTATAAATCAATTCTTATTACAGTACTTTTGACTTAATAGACCCTCCATAAAAACAAGGCAGTGAAAGAATTTTGAGGCAGTTGTGTTGAACATGACCAGAGATGGTTCACGACACCTGCTCCACCTTTACTAGATGCCACTTGTATATGGCCCCCAGAAGTGCTATGAACAAAATTACAAAAGTAATTTTGCAGTAAAACTGCAAGACTTTCATATGTTTGCCCTACTAACTCATTTGACAAGTATTTATTGACAACCTACTATGTCTCAGGCATTGTTCTTGGCATTGGGAATGCTCTGGTGGGCAAGACAGGGGCCATGCTCAAGGGAAACACGTAGGGAAAAATAAAATAACCCAGTAGGATAAAAAGTACCATCTGAGATAAACATCCTGCTGACTCTTTTGTAAAAAGAAAAGAGAAGGTTAATCTCAAGTTAAGTACAAAAAGATATATATACAGCACTCTACAAAGATGAAAAAATCACCAATATAAACATCACGTATTAAATCTGTTCATGGATTATGAACTGTTACCCTCTTCCTCAAAGGACCTAGAGACGAGAAATGCACTGCTTTGTGAGATAGTCTAGCCTGGAGCATACTTGCTCTTGGCTTCTTTGACGGTGTGTCCTGTTTCCTCTTCCCTTGCTGGCTGTGCTTCTACATTCTCGCTGGCTAGCTCCTTCTGCTCTGACTCCTAAATATCGACACACAAACATATCTGCATTTTTCAGACCTTTGCACTCAGGCCCTTTCTATCACAGGTGCTTTGTACATGCTCTTTCCTCTACCTGGAACTTTCTTCCATCTCTCTAGGCTGGTTACCTCCTGTCCATCCTACAAATATTACCTTTTATTTTACCTCTCTTCTACAAGGTCAAATTCTCTGTATGAAGTCAAGCCTTCCTCACTAAACAGCAACTCTCATTTAGAGTACTTGTCACAATTACAACATTAAGTTTGTTTGAATCATTTTTTGACTAATGTTTGTTTCTCATCAAAGACTCCACGGTTTCATGATTTCAGTGACTTGCTTTTTCTCACTCAACCTTCCGTCTCCAGCTCTATCCATCATGAATCCTGACCCATAGACACCTAATGTTTTTTGAATGAGCGAGTAAATGAATGAATAAATGAGTAATGCCTGAGCACTTTTTTGATCAGTAGTTCTTTGTTTTTTCTTTCTCTATTTTTAATATTTATTGGCCTATAAAAATGATGTCTTGGATCAAATTTAGCAAGGTGAGAGTTCCTAATCTGATCTTATATATTATGGACATGTATTAGCATATTTGTTAATGTGTGAGATGGACTTATCAAGAATTTGTAGTTTTTTGTTGTTTTGTTTTGTTTTGTTTTGCACAAGAACAAATAAGCTAATGAATTTTAACTTAGAACTCAGAAAGAGACCAATGCATAACTGGGAACTTAATATCTGATAAAATGGGGACAGCACATACTATTGAGAAGAGGGGAGATTATTTAGTGGTGACATTAGGAAAACTGAATTGTTATTGGAGAAAAACATAATTAATTCCCTACTAAATACCACATACAAAGTGGCCTTCGGGTGGGTTAAACTTTCCTGTGGTGACAAAGACACAAAATCCATGGAAAATGGATATAGGAGAATATCTATGTGATGCAGAGGTAGAGAAAGATTTTTGAAATGATACTCCAAAAACATGTATCATATAAGAATAGTAATAAAATAAGATATATTCAATTACATTAAAGTCAGGCTTTCTATTCAACAAAGGACACCATGAATAAAGTTAAGACACCGATGACAGAATGGGAAAGATATTAATTATGATTAAAACCAACAAGGGAGTGATGTCTAGAACATGCAAGGAACTCCCACGCATCGATGGGAACATGACAGAAACCTCAATAGAAAAACAATGGGCAGATATGGCCAGGCATTTTACAATAGGAGAATCTCAAAGCCTGCAAAGTATATTTTTAAAAATTAGGAAATCAATATTAAAATCATAAAATATTCCTTTATACCTGTTGAACTGACAAAGTCAGAAGCTGATTGTCCCTTATCAAAGTTACTTCCCAATTAAATTGAACTCTCCAGCTTCCCAGCGACTGCATACTCACCACCGAATGTGGCTGAAGATGAACTCATACACAATTCAGGAGTTTCACATTAAGGTCATGATCAGTGTCTTAAGCTGCAGTTAATATTGCCCACAGCCTTACCCTACCTGCCTTGTCCACCCACTCCCCCATTTTCCTTGGCAATTTTTTTTTTCAAAACCTCCTTTTCTCTACTCTAACCTCCTATATACCCCCTCGATTCTCACTTTTTATTCTGACTTAGTTTTCCATGTCACAGAGAAAAAAGGAACTGACAAGAACTTCTGCGAGCTGCCCCACACCCACCACCTGCCTGCATCTGTACCATCCACGTGGCCTTTTCTTCTGTGCTATGGATGAACTAGCTCTGTTCACAGCTAAGGTCACCTTCTCCCTCTGTGCATTCATTCCCATCACCTCCCACCTACTCAAGGGCTTTGTTGGCATAGTTCTGCTCCTTGTCTCCAACATCGCCAATTTAATCCATCACTATATAAACTAAACTAAACAAAAATAAATAAAAACAAAAACAGCAGCAACAACAACCAAAATACCAGAAATCCCTACCTTTCAAAGTCCTATCTCTCCATCCAGCTAACATGCCCCATTTCTCAGCTCTTCTTTTACAGAAAAGAACTCCGGGAAAAGATGTTTTATGTTCACTGTCTTCAATTTCTTTCCTCCTTCTCTCTTGCACTCTTTCTAATCAGATTTTCTCACCTATTGTTTCACTAAAAGTGTTTTGACAAAGAGTTGCAGAAACTTTCTTGGTCTATCTCTGTCTATTAGAATGGCATTTTCATGAGGTTTTATTTTTTTTTATTTTTTTTTATTTATTTATGATAGAGAGAGAGAGAGAGGCAGAGACACAGGCAGAGGGAGAAGCAGGCTCCATGCACCGGGAGCCCGACGTGGGACTCGAGCCTGGGTCTCCAGGATCGCACCCTGGGCCAAAGGCAGGCGCCAAACTGCTGCGCCACCCAGGGATCCCCCCTTCATGAGGTTTTATAGTGCTCTCCACTTTCAGTTGCTACAGCTGTGCCTGTCACAATATGGGCCCTTGGTAAATATTGGTTGAACAAATATATATATGCTATCAAATGACCTGTAATCCATTGACTAATTATTAAAAAATTATGATGTTACTTTGAGATAAACATATGTAAAATACTGGCTATAAGCAAACCTTAAATTTACGCTCAGGCATCTGAGAAATCATCCTATATAGAGGCTATTATCCTTCAACACAACTGATAATGTAGGCATGAGAGATTTATGTAATTTCCAGTTGCAGAAAGCATATGAAAAACATTAATGAACATAGTGGTCAGAAACATGAGGGTCAAATAAAAAATAACAAGTCCTGGGATTCTTAACTACAAGCATTGGTTTGCAACAAAGCTGTATTCCATATAAACAACTCTATGGAGCTTGATCCAGAGACAGTAACAGCAGGAATTAATGTATTTAACTATGGTTGAGTTTTTCATCTAATCAGTTTTGGGGAAGCCAACTAGTAAATATTGGGTAGATATAGAGATAGTTAGATGAATAGATAGGTAGATAGAGCTATAGATATAGATAACTATCCTGATGATGATTAAAGTGTGATTATCAGGGGCTAAGAGGTAGGGGAGAGATGGAGATGCCAGTCAAAGGGTACAAGCCTTCAGTTCTGAAATGAATAAGGCTTGGAGATCTAATGTACAGCCTAGTGATGATAGTTAATAACACTGTATTGTGTATTTGCAATTTGCTAAGCAGGTAGACCTTAAAGTATTCTTACCATACATACAAAACCAAACAAGGTGCCTCTAAAAATTGATGGATTTGTCAATTAACCTGATTTTGGTAATTAAAGTATATGTATAGTAAATCACATTGTATATATAAATTTTATTTGCCAGTTATACCTCAATAAAACTGAAGAGCAAAACCAAAAACAAATGCCATCATCCCCCCAACATTTGTCTGGCCAATGACTGTACCAGCACTCCTAGCCACCCACATCAGGTCCAGCCTCAGCCAAATGGGAAAATGGTCAGACACAAACCTGCTCAAGAACTTCTCTAGCCTTCTCAATAGGTATTCTTATTATGCTGCAACCATCTTTAAAATTTTTCTCTTCCTTCTCAATATTCTATGTTCAGTTTCTAGCTGCTCTCTGAAAATTTGAATATAACTTTTTCCTTTTTTCTACTTCTCAACAACTATCACCATAAATTAAAATAAACTACCTCCTCATCCTTTGAGCTCTTCTTTTTTTCTTTCTTTTTTTATAACACATTTTTTGAGACATAATCCACAACCTTCTTTCTTACATTCATCTTACTTCACTCAGTAGTAATCCTCACTAGCATGTTGCTGGTTGGCTTGATTTTCACAACAAATCCTAGAGTGTAGAGGGTGAAAGGGTACTGGAAAGGAGGCAAGAAAGAGGTGTTAAGGGGGAAATGCTTAAGCGGTCCTGGATGAGCAGAAGAAAGACAAGAAGTTTTGAATATTTGTTCAGATAAAAAAAAATATTTACACGACTAGTTACTTAGAAAGCTAATTTAAAAAGTGGCCCCTGCCCTAAATGAACACCCAATATTTAGGGATGGATAACCTGGATATTAAGTAATAACAGGTGGGAGGTGGAGGTGGGGAGCATCAATTATGTCCTTTCCAACTTTGAGACAGGACATACCTCCTTGGAATTTCCACAGATACTTAAAGTTTAAAATGTCTCAAACCAAAGCCATTGTCTTTCCGTAACAAAAACCACTTTGCTTTTCTCTTCCTTGTAGTTAATGGTTTCATGATCCTCCCACTTACTCAAGATAGAAACCAGGGAGTCATCCTAGACAGTGTCTCTGCCTCATACTCACATCCATCAGTCTTCAGGTTAATTACTGTATTTGATTCCTCATCTCTCATGTGGACCACCTTCATTGCTCTTCCAGCTCTACAAGCCTTCCAGTCCATCCTCTGTAACAGTGGTTTTCAAATTGTGTTTTTGGGAACTCCAGTCATTCTTGTTTTTTGTTTGTTTTGTTTTGCTTTTGGTTGTTTTGGGAATCCTTATTTCCACCTTAACTAGAGTGCCTCTTTCCACCTTGCTCATGGAGTCTTCTCTAACTGTAGGGAAAAGGACTTCCAGGTCTTCTGTGTGCATACAGGCTTTGACATGTGCCTCTGTTATCTGTAATCTGACCCAAGTGTTGTAATTACTTGATTTATAAATCTGTTTCCTCTGGGCGTGCATTAATTTTCTATTCTTCATATGCCCAGATAATTGCAGTTTGATAGATATTTGGACAAAGAGTGGACGATACCGGTAGTAACAAAGATAAGGAGAGCAGCAAAGTGCTCGTTTGTGAAGGCACTAAATAATTTGCTTTTGAAGATACTGAGTTTGATATTTCTGTGAGTCATAGAGCTGGAAATAATTAGTAAGGAATGTGGATGTGGAATTCAAGAGACATCCAATCTGGAGATGCAAACTTGATTATTACCAATATACGCATAAACAGCACAATTCCAAATGGAAACAATTCATCCACTTAACCCATAGATTCTGGTGAGGAGAGAATTCCTCTGAAGTAAGAAAGACTATGTTTTGTCATCCTCCTACCCACAGAAATTTACCAGCTGACGATTAAAATTTACATTTCAATGAGCAACTTAGATTCACAGGAAGCATAATTTTCTTTTAGAACTAAGAAGTAAAAAACATTTTTTTTCCATTGTATTACTGATATTGAGAGCCATTTGAAGAGAAATGTTCAGGATGCAATCATTAGTCTGACTCGCATTTAAATTTTGGCTCTCTGGAAACCTAGCTAGCAATCTGAGCTTGTTTGAGTCAACTAACTTTTCTCAGCCTCAGTTTTCTTATTAGTAAATAGGAATAATAATATATAAATTGGAAGTATGCCGTAAATACTTTCAATGAGATAATATTTGTGAAAAGAGCATTCTGGAATGCTTGCACATAGTAGGCACTTAATAAATTTCTTCAAAAAACATTCATTCAGTTCTCTTTAAGGTGTTGTGCACAGTTCTGGTGGAACTTACGCTCAAATGCAGGGAGAGGAGAGAAAAAAATAAACAATGAACACAGGGAAGAAGTAAATGATCTAGTATGTCAAACGGGAACACAATTCATTTTGTATTGAAACTCATATAGTGCAAGTAGCTACAAACTTCAATGCCTGCAGGGGTCAGGAAAGAAATTAAAATAAGTAAGTCATGTTGGTTGAAACAAAGCAGCCCTTTTTAATTATTCTGAAATTATTTTGAAAAAGATAGAAGTCCAAAAAATCTGTTTCTTTTCTTAAATATACCTTCAGAAAATAATAGTACAGTGCTTGCTTCAGCAGCACACGTACTAAAATTGGAACGATGCAGAGAAGATTAACATGGCCCTGCACAGGGATGACAGGCAAATTCATGAAGTGTTCCATATTTTAAAAGAAAGAAAGAGAGAGGGAGGCTGGGAGAGAGGGAGAAGAAAGAAAAGTCTAAGTGCCCTAATAAATGTTAGGTGAAGCCTTCCTATCATGAATGGCAAGTTTCAGAGGGCACTGGCATTGGCAGAGGACACCAGGAATGCCACTTTCCCTTCCAGCCAATTGGAATATAGACTCAGTGTCACCAGAACTGCCAGTTTTTTAAAAGAAGTCACAAATTTACATTTTGGGTAAGAATGTCTAGATTGGAATATAGTAATGTATTTATAATTATTTTCAAAACATTTGCTAGCTATATCTTGGCCTGCAAATGTAATTAAGTTTTAATCTCTAAAAAACATTTAGCTTGGGCAGCTCTGGTGGCGCAGCGGTTTAGCGCTTCCTGCAGCCCAGGGCCTGATTCTGGAGACCAGGGATCGAGTCCCACGTTGGGCTCCCTGCATGGGGCCTGCTTCTCCCTCTGCCTGCCTCTCTCTCTCTCTCTCTCTCTCTCTGAATGAATAAATAAATAAATCTTTAAAAAAAATATTTTTAAAAAAATATATTTAAAAAATATATTTTTAGCTTTACTTATGTGATTTTTTTTTAAAATAAGTTTTTGTTCTGCAGTATTTTGTAAAACTTGGCGATTGAAAGAGTGCATCTCTCCACTATACAGTCCCTTAACGATTATATAAGGAATAAACATTTCGCTAAGAATCATATTGATCTGGGGCAGAGTAACATTGGTTAAAAATAAGAATCAATATTCCTCCTGCACATTTGTCCCCAGATTACCTCATGTCATTATTAAACATCTTCCTTAGTTACTGTGCCCTGATTTTGTTCAGCTGAAAAATCACTTTTCTTACTTTCTTTCAGATGGGGATGAACATGTGACTAAGTTCTCCCAAGTACATGAGAAGTTGTTGGAGAGATCTTCTGGAAATGTTCCCTAAAAAACAGTCTTCCTCCTTCCTCTTTTTTCCTGTTATAGACACAGATGTGATGGCTGGAGCTGCATTACGCATTTTGTGACTGGGAAGCAATTTGTACAAAAAGATGGTTGGGCAGAAAAGTAAAGGTTCCTGGGACATTAAGAAGCATCCACACAGAAGAAGAAGAAAAAAACCCCACAAAACAACAAAAAAGTCCCAAACCCCAAAATTTATACTTCACATGACAAAAAGAATACAGAGAATAAAGAGTACATGATGAAAACATTTCTTTCTCATAAGAAAACAAGTCCTACTTGTAAAATGTAACCATTAATCAAAGCATTTTTATGTAACCTACCAAAAATCTTCTGAACAATTTCAAGTATTTTATGAGATATTCTATTCCTCCATAATTTATCCTGAATATATGTACTGAAAAATTGTTTAATTTGAATGAAAGTGATACAGTAGTAAACATGTTTAATTTTTCATTGTTTTAAATCAGTGAGTTTAGAATATTTTCATTTGTTCAAATGAAATTTAACTGTCCTTTCTTCTGTGAATGATCTGTTTATATTCTTTACCTATTTTACTAAGGAATTTATTACTTTCATATCATTTTATGAAATTCATTAGTATATTACTAACAGTAATATATTGTCTCTCACAAATGCTTTTTTTTTTTTTCCTAATTTTCTTGTTTTTTTTTTTTACTTAGTTTCAGGTATCTATTCCTCTGGAAAAATGTTTAGACTTAATGGATTCAAATCTGTAAAGTTTTCCTGTCACGGGAATTCTAAAACAAATGTTTTAAAAACAGTAAAAAATTTTTTAAAAGAAGCATCCATACAAGTCCAAGATTTTGAGCTTGTTTTACATTAGTGAAAATAAAATTTTATATTGTCTAAGCCACTTTATTTCTGTTACCAAGTGCTGCTCTAAAGCAAGTCCTAACCAATTCACTAAGATCATTTTTAAAATACATTTTTATATAGCCACTAATGTAAAAAAAGCTGAATTCCAACTGAGTCTATTAGCATATGGAATCATCATTTGTCATATACCAAAACCATAATGTTGTCTTTGTCACATGTGGAAACCTCTGTAATTTCCTCTGTTTGTCAAACACATCTTTATTCATTTTGAGGTCTGAGTTGGCACAAGAACAGTTTTAGATTATAATGGAAATTCATTGGATTAATGGAAAAATAAATTGTATTTACCTACATATTAATTAACTGAAACACGAGAACATGTCTTAGGCTATTAGAATGGAAGAAAATATTGAATCTTTCAGACTTTCTAGGAGGATGCAATGGTAGAAGTAGTACGCAACATTTAAAAATGTGTCTTGGGGCACCTGGGTGGCTCACTGGGTTAAGCGTCTGCCTTCAGCTCAGGTTATGATTCCAGGGTCCTGGGATCTAGCCCATCATCGGGCTCCCTGCTTCTCCCTCTAACCCCCCCAACCCCCCGCTCATGCTCTCTCCCTAGCTTTTTTCTCTCTCTCTCAATAAATAAAACTTCTAAAGAAATTTTTTAAAAAATGTGTCTTGGGGCACCTGGGTAACTCAATTTGTTAAGTGTTAAGTGTCAATTTGTTAAGTGTTTGTATGCAGCTCTGGGCATAATCTTGGAGTGATGCAATTGAGTCCTGCAGGGGCTCTGCTTTCAGCCCCAAGTCTTCTTGAGATTCTCTCTCTCCCTCTTCATCTGCCCCTCTCCCCACCCTGCTTTTGAGCATGGTTTCTCTATTTCTCTCTAAATAAATAAATAAATAAATAAATAAATAAATAAATAAATAAATAAATAAATCAAAAAGAAAGAAAGAAAAAAAAAAGAAAACTCTGAAATGTCTTCAAGACTAAACATTTCTAAAATCTTAGCCCAAAGAAAATGATTTTCCAGTTTATTGAATCATGACTTAGGTGAATTAATTATTTCCACTCAGTCTCTGTTTTCTCCCTATATCAGACAAGATTCAGCTACATTTAATAGAAAATTTAAAATTCATTGCTTAAACACACAACGATTTTTCACTTGAGTGAACAAGTCTAGACATGGGAAATCCAGGGCAGGCTTGGAGATTCCACAAAGCTACCAGGAATTCAACCTCCTTCTATCTTTATGCTCTTCCATTCTCAACAAATGGCTGATGGCTTCCAACCTGAAGATCATAAGGTTGTTTGGGCATGGGGTGGGGGTGGGGGGCATCATATCCGTGTTCTAGACATCATGAAATACAATTTGGGGAATCCCGGGTACCTGGATGGCCCAGTCGGTAGAGCATGGGACTCTTGATCTTGGGGTTGTTGAGTCCAAGCCAAACAATGGGTGTAGAGCTTACTTAAAAAAAAAAAAAAAAAAAAAAAAAAGCAATTGGGAGAAGAACAAAAATTCTTCCAGCTGAATCAGCTCCATTAAGACATCTACTCAGAAATATTATACATAGCATTTCACTTCTTACTGGCCAGAATTTAGGGGTTGTCACAATTGGTTCAAGGGGTTTGGGAAATAGTGGTCTCTCAGTGAGGCACATAGCCAGCCCAAATGAAATCAGAGCTCCATCTCCAATGAAGAACTAAGTTAGGAGATAGTTGGTAAACAGCCAGCAGTCTCTGACACGACTCTCACAAAATACCAAGGGACATGTGTTTGTAAGTGTCAATAGTCTACTTAATGTTTAACTTCACACATATTTAATATAAAAACATCAATGTCAAATTAGTATTTAATATTAACAGTTAATATTTAACACATTTAATAACTATATTCTATATTTCTATGGTATTTTATATTTAATATTAATAATGTACTATATTAAAATAAAATATTAAAATTAAAACAACTCTGAGAATTTGTCTTAATTTTATTCTACCCAATATGAAACAAAAAGAAATAATTATGACAGATTTTGGTTACTTAATATAACATCACTGGTTCTGACAGGTTCTCAGCCACACCTATAATACTCAAAGTCGGCTACGCCCAGAAAAATAAAACGTTATAAATGTACATGGAAATTAATTGGCTCAGGAAGAAAAGAATACATCAAGACACATATTTGCCAAAATGAAATCAGGAAACTGTGAGTGTATTGCTTAAATTATCAGAATTATTCAGGTTGATTTTTAAGCACAATTTGGTAAATTTATTGGATAGGCTTGATCAAAAATAATATCAAAACGTGATTTTTTTAAATTTTGAGTTAGCAAAATAAATTTGGTAAATAAAGTGACAATGAAACATGCCATCTACCTAAATTTGGTTGCCTTATGCATCATTGTATATTCTCCAATTCAAAGCAGTCTTCGGTATAAATTTCACAGAGAGTCGATTACCCAGGTACACAAGAACACAGAGTGGGAGGTTCTACTTTCTGGGTAGTGAGAGGCAAGCAGGCTTGAATTTAGGCCACCAGGTGAACTGCGACAATTTCCCTACCAGATGGCAGCTACAGACCTGCTTCCTGAGGCTACTTGTGTAACTTGCTCTAATTGGCTGTGTTGTCCACAGATTGGTTTTTGCAGGTTCCTCTCAGGGGACCAACTGCACACACTAATCAAAGTTTCCTGTGCCTGTAGACCTCCTGGGGATCTTGTTGAAATGCAGATTTTGATTCACGTCTGGGGGTGGGGCCTGAACCCTCGGTCCTCACCAGCTCTCAGGTGGTGTGAAGAAGCAGAGTAGCAAAGAACTAGTACTGTGAATTTGTTAAATCAAAAGCAATGGCCAGAGGACCTCACTGTCCCTTTCCTGTCTAAAGGAACTGTGGGAGGGACTCCAAAATTAGTATTTCTTTTTTTTATTATTATTTTTATTTATTCATGAGAGACATAGAAAGAGGCAGAGACAGAAGCACGCTCCCTGCGGAAAGCCCGATTTGGGACTCGATCCCAGGACTCCGGGATGAAGACCTAAACTAAAGGCAGTTGCTCAACCATTGAGCCACCCAGGTACCCCGGAATTAGCATTTTTAACAAGTTCCTTTGTAATGTGGATGCCTCTAGTCCAGGAATCAGGTTTCAAGAAGCACTGATAATAGAATTCCAGTATAGATCTCAGATAGGTAAGAAATATGGA